AGCAAACTACCTGAATCAACTAGAACTGAGCCCAGGTAACGAGCAGAGTTTTGAGTACTACAGTTTAATTACTGCACCACGAGGTTTGCAGGGGCCAAAGTTACATCAAAATGATGGCAAAGGTTACCCATGTTGGAAGCCCTTAGTTATTTTGGTGATATTCCATTGTTGGAGCTAGAGTTTTCGAGGTCTCTAGAATCCCGGCTTCATGGAAAAGCAAACAAAACCAAATGAGTTGACATTTCAGTCAACATTTCCCAACAAAACAACCTGGAGCAGTGAGAACATGCACACAAAATAGGACTTTGATGCTCTGCTTGCTGAGAGAGGGTTGTAACCTTTTCCATATCATACCCTGATCTTGGTTTGTTTTTTTGTTTTCAATAATGCAAGGGCTGAAGAGCCAAATAGCATCATAACTAGCTTGACCACAGAAAAAGTGCTATAGAGGCTTGACGCTCTCTGGATGAAAACCTGGGAAATTCAAACTATAATTCCGGATTAATCGTACTTAGCTCCTTGCAAGAAAATTATTGCTCTCTGCAGAATGGGTTGAAACAAGTAGCTCATAAGTGTCTTTCCATTCAAGCAGATATTGTGCTTCTCACCACTTAACCAGTATTACAGAAAGCCAGCCAGCCAGAAGGAATCGGAACATAGTAAAGCTTTTTAGTTAATATAGTTGAAATATTTGGCCGAAGTCCCCAGCGTTTACTATGTCATGTCTTCTTTGCTTTACATGGGGCACATGTAAACTGGAATGCCTTTAGGGCCCCTCCTTATGTGCACTAAGTCTTGAAGGTGTTGTTAAAATGTACATTAATTCTGAGAAACATAATACAGTGTTTACTGTTGGTATTTAGATTTTTTTGCTTTTAAGTGTTTCATTTAGAATATTTCTTCCAAAGTAAACTTAAGTAAACTTGCTGTCCTCTGAAAATGCTGGCCACAGAGACTGGCAAAACGTCAGGAAGAACAACCTCCAGAACACGGCCAAAGAGCCCGAAAAACCCAGAACAACCATTAAACTTACATAATTCGTTTGCCATTTTATTGTCATCGAAGCAATCACTAAGCGAGGCACCACTGTAGAATATTTCTTCTAAAGTAAACTTACATAATTTGTTTGCCATTTTATTGTCATTTAATTGTGAAAGATCATGGAGTGATTCATGGTAAGATAACTGACCAAAAAATACATTGATTTGTTGCAATATCTTTTCATTACAAGTTCTAGTCTTACCTTCCCCAGTTGTTGGTATATTACAACAGAATACAAAGCTATGATCATTTAAGAAAATGAGTGGATTGACATTAGAGATAATACAGAATTGGTGTTATAAGATATAATTGCAATTAAGATATAAAATAGTTAATATATGAAATGCAAAACATTAATATATTTTTGTTTATGCTTAGATATCTGTTCCAAATGAATTGGTGGCTCTTATGAGTGCTAAGAGAGATGGAGATTTGCCAGATCCAGAAGAAAGCTCTAGGAAGATTTATCGTTTCAGTCAAAATGTAAGATTCCACATTGTCAACTCAGTTTGTTGTTGCTATTAGATGATGTCAGATTGCTCCCATTTTATGGTGACTACAAATTAATAACTTCTGAAAGATATCATCAAGAATTCTGCTGAAGTCTTGCAAAATCAAGACCATGGGTTCCTTTATTGAACCAATCTATCTTATGTTGGTTGTTCTTCTTACTTCATGCCTCCTTCCCTAGCATTATTTTTTTCTCTTTAGTCTTGTCTTCTCATGACATGCCCGAAGTATTATACTTCAGTCAGTTTCTCCTGAGAATTCGGATTTGATTTTATTGAGAACTCACTTGTTTTTCTTTCTTTCAATCTATAGTATTAGTAAAGGTCTCCTGTAACACCACATTTTAAATGAATAAATTATTTTCCTATCAGCTTTCTTCATTGCTCAGTGTTCACGTTTCTATATGAAATTCAGGAATACCAAGTATGGATGATTTTGATTTGATCTCCAGCAGCACATCCAAAATATCCTTAGATTTTTATTTCTAGTTCCTTCATATTTGTCTTTTTAGATTTCAGACTTCTTCTGATTTGTTGGCTGCAGTCTTCATTTTGATTAATGATTGGATTGAGGCATAACAATTTCAGTTTCTTCATTGTCAGCCTTGAAAGTTATGTAATTCTATGGTCTTGATTTTTGTCTCAATGCTCAGCTATTAACCTGGTTTTATAGTTCCTTCAATTTTCATCAGTTTTCTCAAGTTTGTCATTAATACGGGTTATCTGCATCTCTTAAATTATTGACATTTTCCCCACCTATTTATATTTTTTCTTCAACTGAAACTAATCCTTCTTTTTGAATAATATGTTCTGCAGATAGATTTGATAGATCAAGAGATAAAATAGACCCTTTATTGATTGCCTCAGCCTATTGTGGTATATATATATTTATTTCCATTAAAAGCATTGGATGAGCTTGGCTTGAGAAATCATGCTTGAACATGTGAAATACATGACCTGTATGTCTGTTATTATTTTTATGTATTAATTCATGTTTTCTCTTTTTCTGATTTAGGTTCCAATACCAAGCTATTTGGTTGCTCTAGTTGTTGGTGCTTTGGAAAGCAGGTTGGTATGATTCAATGGCTATAGGCAGTTGCCATGGCAAACTATGGTTTAGTGAGATGCTAATAATAAGTCTAGCCTTTCACAATTATGTACTGTCCTATGCTTCCATCCATGTATGGAGCAGTCCAGACGCTTCTGTTTTTTCTTAAGTGCACATTGCCATGTTGTAAACTCAATAAAAAGTTCTTAGATTGAAAGTCTTAGTACTTTAAACAAGTTAGCTTCAGTCTACTTTCATGACAGTTTTTCGCTGAATAAAATACAAGCAACTTTCATAGGAGTCTTATAAAAAGAGACGCACTGCAGTACAGAACGTAGTGCTACAGAAAGATGTGAAGTTGCAAGGCATATATCAGAAAAATGAATAGTTCATATCCCTCTCTCTCTCTCTCTCTCTCTCTCTCTCTCTCTCTTTGTGTGTGTGTGTGTGGGATAATGCATTTGTGTAGTTGGAAAATCTTTTTCAAAACCATCAGAGATCAGAGAATCTCTTTTTGCCTTCTATCTTCCATCCCATTGTACTTCACCCATGATTTTGGATCCCTTGGCTGACTGGATAGTTCAGTAAGTTAGGTACGAGATTTGGAGTTTGATTCCCTTCTGTGCCTCCAGGGAGAAAAACCTGCCTGTGAAGCCATGGGCAAGCTGCACAGTCTCAGGCTGCCCCCAAGATAAGAGAATGATCAACCACTTCTATGTATAGCTCGTTCAAGTTTACAGCTATCTGGAAGATCTATGATTGGTCTCCAGATTTTTTTAAAAAAACTGAGATATTGATGCTGAGAGCTACTAAACTGATCTGCACAGCAGCAAAGGCAAAAAAAGAAAAAGAAAAAGAAAAAAGAAAAGAAAAAGAAGAAGAGGAGAGTTATCCGTACACCATATTCCTCATGAAACTTGCCTTCCTTGAGGTTCTGGTTCCCCTACAAAGCAAGAAACATTTGTATATAAAGAATCCTCTCCCTTCTCCTGCCCCTGGCACCTTATTATTGCATGCCACCGTGAGTATATGCATGACTTTGATCAGGGAAATTGGAGGGAGAGTTAAGTTTCCAGTCCTGCCCCCAGACTACACATCTGACCTGGTGGATGCATTTGAGTTAAAAGAGAAGAAAACATCAGGAGACCTGATCACGGTCTGGGTCTTCAGCACAGCATTGCCTACCATGATGAAAGAAAAATAACAAATATTCCAAATATGCAAACATTTCTTTCAGAGAATGTTGTAGGATAATTTGCAAGAAGAGTACTGTAGCTAGCCATAGTACTAGGTCATTCTTTTAGAAATGATTAAGGAATTATTTCTGCTGTGTTATGCAGTTTTGTGTAATGGTACAAAAAAGACACATAAATACATACATACCCTGCAAGGTTTCCAACTACACAAATGCATTATCACACACACACACACAGAGAGAGAGAGAGATAGACCTCTGGGCGTCAAAGTCTTTGAGGGTAAGCCATTATGGCAATGAATGAAGATATAATGGTTACCCATGATTACAACTGAAAGGAAGAACTTGCTTAAAAGATGGCAAGCATTGAGTAAGAACTCTGGTCAAGATATATTTGTTCCCTCCCTTAGAAGCAGAATTAATTATTCACAAATCAACTATTGCTTTGTGTATTGTTTTTCCTTGTGTATGGTAGCACTCTCCTGGTTAATCCAAATATTAATGTTTATGAATTTGGTGCTTTACAATTTGAAGTAAGAGAGAAATCATTCAGGAAGATGGGATTTGTAGTTATTCTAACCAAATTTTGTTCTTCAGAGAAATTGGCCCCAGAACTTTGGTATGGGCTGAAAAGGAACTGGTAGACAAAGCAGCATATGAATTTGCGGAGGTTAGTGAAAATTCTTTCTTTGCCTGATGCATATCTAAAAGTGAATTGCTAATAGCACTTTTTAATTTTTTTGTAAAAAGAGGAAGTTTTAAAATTTGGAGAAGAAAACAAAACACGGTGTTCTTGAGATCCTGTATATTAATATAATGAGAATTAATACCAGGGTTGAACATTAAAAGCAGTGAAATTTTTGTTTCAGACTGAAGCCATGTTGAAAATTGCAGAAGATTTGGCAGGCCCTTATGTATGGGGTCAGTATGACTTGCTCGTGTTACCACCTTCGTTTCCTTATGGTGGTATGGAAAACCCCTGCCTCACCTTTGTTACTCCAACATTACTGGTAAGTAGGAGTTGATTTTACAGCATAGGATTCCTCAGGACATCACTCTGAATTCATTTAGCTCATGGGGCTAACGTGACAGATTGCGTTTTAGTAAACACTATTAACTATCCTTATGATTGCCCAAATTAGGAAACAGGAATTTCTATTTATTTATTTATTTTTATTTATTTATTGCATTTATATGCCACCCATCTAGACATCGTCTACTCTGGGCGGCTCACAACATGTATGATAAAAGCAATTTAAAATATACAGAGTTTACATAAATAAAAACAAAGCAATATAAAATATAAATCGTAAGTTTATAGTTTTGTTTTTAATTTAAAAATAATGTATTAGTGTGAGTGAGAAGTAACTTTAATCTTTATCTTTTGTAGGCTGGCGACAGATCATTATCTGGCGTAAGTATAAGTCCCTGCAAATGGGAATTGCTAAAGAAATAATAGACCTCCTGTTCATAATTCATTATTATGATGTCTAGAATTGGGACTCGCTTGTCTTTGCTCTGACAAGCTGGGATACAAACCAATACAAACCAGCACCTTCCCTTGTTTACTATAAGCTGAAGTTCTCAAGGCCGCTGTGTGAGAGACAGTGGGACTGTAGCTGGGTTGCTGCCGGCTGCCAGCTTTTTCCAAGGGAGCCTGGCTCAGTCTCCCTCTGCTTTGCAGGACTGGGCCCTGCTGCTCCTGGCTGCCCACCCCCTTCCCAACATCAGCCACCTGGCTCAGGGGGAGAGGAGGTTTTAAGTCGGAGCTGCTTTCAGGGCCCTGCCGGAGCAGCATTCCTGCATTCAAGGGAGCCGAATAACATCTGGGGCTTCTGGGGCAACCAATAGAGAAGATATATGGCAGGGGAAGATACGGTGGTGCGAGTAGAGCATGCTCGCATAGGAGAAAGGCGGTTAGATACCTTACACCTATCCTCTTTTCTAGCTCTACTCCCAGCAAACGGTACTAGGTGACCATATCAGCCACCCCCCCGGGCCACATGGTACTGTTGGTAAATGCCAGGTCGGCAAAAAATAAGACTGCCCTCATCCATGATTTAATTTTGGATGAGGGTGCCGACCTGGCATGCATTACTGAGACCTGGGTGAGAGAAGGAGGAGGAGTTCCTTTATCTCAGTTGTGTCCCCCTGGGTACTTGGTACAACACCAGAGTCGCCCGGAGGGTTGGGGAGGAGGCATGGCGATAGTCTACAAGGATTCCTTCCACTTTTCCAGACTCCCTGTCCCCTTGGGAAATGGTCTAGACTCTAGAGGGCCTCTATTGTGTGTTGGACTCAAGAGACAGCCTGGGGATTCTCTTGGTGCACTGCCCACCCTGCTGCTTACCAGCAGTCTCCCTGCCTGAGCTGACAGAGGTGATCTCAGACCTGGTGGTGAGGACTCCCAGACTTTTGGTACTGGGGGACCTCAACCTTCATGCTGAGGCCACCTTAACAGTGGTGGCTCAGGGCTTCATGGCTGCCATGACAACCATGGGGCTGTCTCACCATGTCATCAGCCCGACTCATGAGAAAGACCATACACTTGACCTAGTATTCTCAACGGGACGGGGGAGATGGTGGTCCAGATGTAGTGGGTTTATCATTGACCCCGTTGTCATGGTCAGACCTTTTCTTGGTAAAGTTTAGACTCTCTGCCACTACTACCCTCTGCAGGGATAGGGGATAAATTAAAATGATCCACCCCCTGGAGACTTGTTGATCCTGAAGGATTCCTGAATGCTCTAGGGGAGTTTCCAGCTGATATGGTCAGCGCTTCTGTTGAAGCCCATGTCGCTTTGTGGTACAAGGAGATGGCCCAGGCAGTTGACACAATTGCACCTAGGTGTTCTCTCCCTGCCCGCGGAGCCTATATGGCTCCATGGTACACAGAAGAGCTTCTGGCATGAAATGGTTGGGGAGACGGCTTGAGCGCAGATGGAGGAAATATCGCTGCAACTATGACCAAACAGCTTAGAGCCCATTATTGGGCCTACTCTGTGGCGATACGGCTGGCAAAATGCCAGCATTTCTCTAGTCGTACTGCTTCCTTGGCGTGTCGGCCAGCAGAGCTATTTCAAATGGTCTGGGACCTTCTTCAGCCTAATGGTTCAGTGGAGGTCCCGCTCAGTGGCTCGCTGTAATGAATTTGTTACACACTTTGAGGGGGAAATTGCTCAATTTCGCAAAGAGTTGGACTCCACTGTTGATGCAGAGCCTATGGTTGTGTCCAGTGCTCCGGAATTATGTCATAATTTATTGGATTTCATTTGTTACGACCCAAGGATGTGGACACGGTGCTTGGATCGGTTCGTGCCACCACTACGCAAGTGCAACTCGACCCTTGCTCATCATGGCTAATAAAGGAATCTGCCAGAGGAGTTCGCACCTGAATCCTGGAGGTCATCAACTCCTCATTAAGGGAGGGAGTGGCCCCCGCCCCATTGAAGGAGGCAGTGATTCACCCACTCGTTAAAAAACCTAATCTGGACCCAGGTCTAGTGATCAACTTCCGACCAGTAGCGAACCTTCCTTTTCTGGGCCAGGTGTTGGAATGTGTGTTGGCTGAGCAGCTCTAGGCTGTCCTGGATGAAAGAGATGATCTAGATCCATTTCAATTGGGTTTCAGGCTGGGTCATGAGATGGAGACTGCCTTGGTCGCCCTGTTTGACGACATTTGCCGGGAGAAAGACGGGGAATGCATCCCTGTTGATTCTCCTGGACTTCTCAGTGGCTTTCAGCACCATTGACCATGGTGTCCTTCTGGACAAATTGGCTGGGATGGGAATGGGAGACACCGTTTTATGATGGTTCTGCTCTTACCTGGCTGATCAAGTCCAGAAGGTGGTGCTGGGGGACAGTAGCTCTGATCCATGGCGGTTGCGTCATGGGGTTCCTCAGGGCTCTATACTGTCCCCCATGCTATTCAGTATCTACATGAAACCACTGGGGTAGGTCGTTAGGAGGTTTGGGCTGAGGAGTCAGCAATATGCTGACGACACCCAGCTCTACCTCTCATTCTCTACCAATCCAAGTGTGGCAGTCGTCATTCTGAACTCGTGCCTGGACTCGATAATAGATTGGATGAGGGTCAATAAACTGAGGCTAAGTCCAGACAAGTCAGAGGTGCTCCTCCAGAAAGGTTAAAGGGCCATTTCCTTGCCTTAGATGGGGTTACATTCCCCCTAAAGGAAAAGGTCCGCAACTTGGGGGTGCTCCTTGACCCGAGTCTGACCTTGAAAGCCCAAGTGGACTCGGTGTCCAGGGGTGCCTTCTTACAGCTGCAGAGAATATTTCAACGCCCTTACCTGGATGAGCGCAGCCTGGCAACAGTCACACATGCACTGGTAGCAACCAGACTGGACTACTACAATGTACTATATGTGGGGCAGCCTTTGAACATGGTCCAGCGATTGCAACTGGCACAGAACCGGGCTGCGCGGCTGTTAAGTGGTGCTGCCGCACAGACTCATATCACGCTAGTTCTGAAAAATTTACACTGGCTGCCGGTTGTTGCTCGGGCCCAATTCAAAGTGCTTACTTTGACATATAAAGCCCTAAACAGCTTAGGACCTGGTTACCTAAAGGACCCCCTTCTTCCATACAAGCCTGCCCGTCCTCTAAGATCAGGCCAGGAGACCCTTCTGAAGGTGCCATCCCTGAAAGAGGCGATGTCGAAATAGGGCCATCTCGGCTGTTGCCCCCCAACTTTGGAACGCCCTCCCTATAGAGATACGCCTGGCTCCAACACTTTTGGTTTTTCAGTGCCAGGCAAAGACCTTTCTGTTTAGCCAGCATTTTAATTAAATAGTATTCTTTAGCTGGCCATATGAGCAACAGGATTTATTACTATTAATATTTTAATGATTTAATATAGGATATTATTATAATATTGCCTATTTTAATGGTTTTAATGCTTTTAAAGTTTTAATATTATTGTATGCCAGTCAGAGACCACTGGTAATAGCGCGGCTAAAAATCTTGTAAATGAAATAAATAAATGTCCAGATGCTGTCTGTTCTTCCCAATTATTGCTTAAAGTTACTAAATGTTGCCACCAGTTGCCATGTAAATGATGCTGTGGATATTATTTTTAAAAGTTCAGTTAAGCCTGTGTGAAAACATTTTGGAGTAATTAATTTGATCACAACTGTCTACTGTTTTTTGGACAATTAATTGTGGGGGTACTTTATGCAGATATTCAACAAGTGTGATACTATGCCTGGATAATATGTGATCTTGAAAAAGGCTGTGCTTTTTAATATGTCGTTGTGGTGAGAAAGAAACGAGACAACAGTACACTTACAACATTTTTGTATGTTTCAGGTTATTGCACATGAAATTTCTCATAGCTGGACAGGAAATCTGGTAACAAATAAAACATGGGAGCATTTTTGGTAGGTGACATCCAAAAGCTTTTAAGAGACTGTCTTAATCGAAATGTCATTGATATACAGTTGTAATGACACATGTGCTTGGTTTTTCAGGCTAAATGAAGGACACACAGTGTACTTGGAACGCCGAATCGGTGGCTGGCTCTTTGGTGAACAGTTCAGGCATTTCCATGCTCTGGGAGGCTGGCGAGAATTACAAAACACGGTACATGCTTCTAGTTAAAAAGAAATAAAGTTAACGTTTTTTAAAAACATTTAGTATATGTAAAATCAGCCTTAAGACTATCTAGCTTTGAGGAATACTATATACTTCATCATCCCTCCTAAGACTAATTGTTTATTTTATAACATTTTTGTTTTATATTTTGTCCCCATAGCAGCTTCCAGATAAATACACACATGTTCAGAGAATAAAAATAAGGGGGAGAAATGCAGTATGTAAATCATTAAAACAGCTTCCTGTGAAGGGTATAAAACAGCTGCAACAATTTCAAAACATATTTTTGCTTTGTCTCAGCAGTCCACAGCTGGTAAATCCTTTGTTCTGAGCAGGTTCAGCATCTTGCAAACATTTCTGTTTCTGCTTGTGTTGCAAGCTGGAGGCTAGAGAATCAGGCATTCAGTTATTGTGTGAGGTGAACACTTGGAACTAGACCAGTCAATCTGAACCCCTTCTAATTCTGAATTAAAGATAACATAGTGGAGCATCATACTGATCCTAAAATAACCTGGGCTCATAGTAGAATAAAACCATTTGACTGTGACATTTTTAAAAAATAGAACAAGAGTGCATAACCTGTTTTTTTACTCCCATTGTTATTGACAACTGGCCAAGTGGGCTGGAGCTGATGGAAATTGGAGTCCAACAATATGTGGGGGGGGGCATAGGTTTCCAGTCTCTGCAGTAGAACATATAAACAGTGGAACAGATGACACTAGAGATGCTACAGTTGCGAAGAGGTTGACCAATAATTTGGCAGTTCTGCTGAGTGTTGGATGGTGTATTCTCTCTTCTCCCCCTCCTGCTTATCAAGAGGTCAAACTTCGTTAAAAATGTAATCACAACATATGTTTTGCTTTTTAGATAAATACCCTTGGAAGCACAAACCCCATGACCAACTTGATCCCTAGTCTGAAAGACGTAGACCCCGATGTTGCTTATTCTTCTGTTCCATATGAGAAAGGTTCTGCATTACTGCTTTACCTTGAACAGCTTCTTGGTGGACCAGGTATTTAGTTACATTGGAAAGCGTGTATTTTTTGCATCAGGAAATATCGTAATATGTTTACATCTGGTTAATATATCTTATGTGCTTACAGATGTCTTCATAGGCTTTTTGAGAGCATATATCCAGCAGTTTGCATACCAGAGTATTACAACTGAAGACTGGAAGAACTTCCTATACACTTATTTTAAGGACAAGGTAAAGTATTACTCTTACAGTTCAGAATTCTGGGTTAACATTTGGAAATGAACCTGTCACATCAATGAACTTTCTAGTCAGCTCTTTCCTCCTCTAACTTGACAGCTACTTCAGAAGCTTTTTTTAATGCTGGGATTTTGCATAAAAACACGCTTTACCATTAAGCATTCCTGAGTATTCTGTAGATATTAAAAACAAAGATTGCCCATTCATCATGTTTCTCCTGTGGGTTGTTTAAAGGGTGTGTTGGTGATTAGCTTTCCTTCCAAGACAAAGAGCTGCCAGGCAAGCTGCAAGGTGCTTCTTCAAGGAACTCGGGTTAATTGAAAGTTGACATTTTACAAGGACGTTTAGCAGGAAATATTTATTTCCTGCCAGAATCCTGATATTGCAAATCCACTCTATGCTGCAAGATGTTTACTTCCGCTTTTGATGGGGAAGTAAACATCAAAGGAAAGCAGTACATGAAGGCGTCAATTTTTGAAATGTCCTGTATTTGTTAACAAAGTATTATTTTTTGAAAAGGATACAGTATTTTATATTGAATGAAGTAGTTCCATAAAGATTAAAGGAAAAGAAAAATCTTCAAATCCTGTTGTGTTAGCCTAAATTAGTGAAATGTTAACATCAGTATATTTTAGATATATAGTTTGTTTCTTCTAGATTGATGTGCTTGAGAAAGTTGATTGGAATGCATGGATGAACACTCCTGGCATGCCACCCGTAAAACCAACGTAAGGATCTTCTGTCATGTTCCTAGCTACTTTTGAGCTGACCTTAAACCAGCCATTCTCAATGGAAGCCGTATGGCCCCCTAGGGGATCTTGGCACATTTGAAGGGGGCCCCAGACTGACAAATGTGAGAAGTTTGTGAAAGACATTTGTTCGTGTTGTATCCTTATTTGACAGGGGGCCCTCTGTGAAAGACGTTTGTGTTGTATCCTTATTTGACAGGGGGCCCTGGAATCTGAGAAGAACTCCTAAAAGGGGAGTGGCCAAAAAAAGGTTGAGAATGGCTACATATTGGTGCTTCAGTTATTTAAAAAATCATTTCTTTATTTATGTTCATTTTTCTGGTCATCTTGTTTGTTCATTTGTTTAAATTGGTTGATGTGTTCAATTTGAATATCAGATGAATATGTAAAGTATGTGCAACCAAAACAGAGTGAAGTACTGTGGCTCCTTTTTAAGGCTAATGTGTTTGTGCAAGGACTTCTCATGAGTTGCAGCCTAATTCTTCAGACTTCAAGTGTTGATTACATAGGTGTCCTGAAAAAAAGAGAAAGTAATTAGCTGATGCTAAATGTCTATGGGATAATCCACAACTGTAGGGCTTTCGCCTTTGAAGTGCTGAAGCACATGTGTAAACCTGTGTCTTAGATATTGGACTCAATGCATCTGAAGTGGACTAATCTATGAAAGTTCATTCTAAAATGAATTTGTTGGTCTAAAGGTGCCACAGGGCTTTGGTTTTGGCTTTTTTGCTATACATGCACAAAGAGATTAACCCAGCTACTTCTTTAAACCCTGTGATTTACACATGAATATTTCAAATAGTGTAAATAGAACATTCAGACATCTGTTATTTGATCATGATGTAATTCAGGGGTCTCCAAATTTTTGACTGTGAGGGCCACACTGGATATTTAACTCAGGGGTCTGACTGTGAGGGCCACACTGAATATTTTCAACATTTTTGAGGGCCGAAGGACCAGGAATGTGAATGCACACACACACTCCTGCCCCCACACACACGTAGGCTGAAGGGAACAGGCTGGATAAAACAGCAAGGCAGGCCTGATGTGGCTCATGGGCTATAGTTTGGAGACCCCTGATCTAACTTACAAAAACTGTTTAGGAGTTCTATTAAATGTCCCTTTGGACTTTGTATTTTAATTTATGTTGGCCGAAATCATGTTGCTTAGCTTAGTTAGTTACAACTAAAGTAGGCCCATTTGAATCAAAGGAACTTACAGAGAAGATGCTTCACCAAATCCAACCTGATTTAATGGTCTTACTATAGTATGACTTACTATGCTAAGCAACTGGATTTCAGCCATAATATAAAGGTTTCATCAGAGATTAGAAACACAACTCTCAGAATATCACATGTAGTAGTGGTTCCTGGTTGTGCTGGCTGAAATATTCTTGGAGCTGCAGTCCAAAAAAGTAACCTTTTTAAAATCTCTGAGTTGCTATAACCAAGGTTCTATAGGTTGTCTATAATTGTATCTCAATGGAAGACATTTCTTCAGAAACATATCTAATCAGAGAAATGTATGAAATAGGATTGTTCATTAATTTCATTCTGCTAAGAGGTGGCAAGGTAGAATATGGATGTGGGTTTGTAGAATCTGTGCTTCAATAAGTGGAAAAACTTTCACAGTTGTAACCAAATCATGTTTTTTCCCATCCTGTTTTTTCCCCATCTTCACCAGGTATGATACAACACTATCAAATGCTTGTATTGCTTTGAGCCAAAGATGGATCAAAGTGAGTCAATGTCCTAAAAATGCATAGGATATTTTAATCGTATTTCACCTGTAGTGCTAATATTGCATTTTGCTTTGTCTTCCAAGCATGCATACCCTCACCCGGTTTTGTGATGCAAAATTTAATAACCTTTAAATAAACTTAACTGTTCTTATGAAAAACATATATAGTTGCTTGCATGACTTTATATTTTCAGCATGACCTTCCAGACTGTTTTAACTGTAGATTGGAATGAATGTAAATGACAGAGACTGACCAGCAGTAAGACGAGTTGCATGGAATAAACAGTCCTGTCCCTATTTTTTCCAGGTGGATCTTCCAAGTTATCTTTGAAATTAGATGGTTAAAGAACAATGGGAGGCAACTGTGGCTATTCACATGTTGGGCTGCAACTGATATAACCTCTTACCATTTGCTATAATGGCTAGGGCAGATGGAAATTGCACTCCAGCAATAGATGAAGGACCACAGTTGCCAGCATTGCCCTAGAAAGGATGAGATGCAGCCTTTCTGAATTTGGGTAATCATTCATGCACTGTATCTGAATGTATGCAGAAAATAGAAGGCAAAAGGTTCCTTTGATTGTATATTCTGACTGACTGGTTTATAAAATCAAGTTTCTCAAATGAAAACTTGAATCTTAACTGCTGGTAACAAATTTGCCTTGTTCTTCCTTACATGGAATTCCTGAAAGATTTTCAGATTTTCTTTGAATTCTCCTTTTTAGGCTACGGAAAGTGAACTCTGCTCCTTTAGTTCGGCTGATATAAGAGAGATGTCTTCCCACCAGCGCATTGAGTTCCTTGCCCTAATCTTGCTGGAGGTAATTGCAGAAAGGGTTTTGCATTTTTTTCCTACTAACTTTTCTCATTGCTTTTCCAGCTTATAGAAGAGGGATGGGGAGATGTATCGGTCCTGGGGAGGAAATGACTTGCCTTTGAGACCAAGCTGGCAGGCCAGATGGTGTGACAAGGCATCTCCATCAAATCTTTTCCCCTCCTTTAGCCCTCCCAAAATTTCCTCATATATTTGCAAAAAGAGGTATAGAATCTCTGCCTAGAGAACATTCCCATTATCTCCAATGTGAAGTTGGAGGTAACAGAAGGGGTTTGTCCCAAATTGCATTCCCAATCCATCTTGGGGAAAGCCTGAGAGAGATGTAAGCCTGAGAGAGATGTATCAAGATGGTTTTCTTTGGTTTAATGCCTTCCCAATCCGTCTTAGGGAAAGCCTGAGAGAGACGTATCAAGATGGTTTTCTTTGGTTTAATGCTGATTACACTAGTCATAGACCATAGCAAAATAAAACTTTTACAGTCAATCAAACTAGCATAAAAATGGAAATGCAGCAATTAAAATTGGCACATAAAACTAGTACATACTAAGTATGCATACATGTCAGATACCTTTAAAAAGGATAAAACTTTACTTCTAAAACAAACTTGTTTTATTAAAATGGAGATAAAATTGTTAGGAAGTGGCATGGGTTTTATCGGGTTACAATCATACTGTTATGTTTTCTAATATCCATGATTTACAGAGATGGAGTCCAAGGTTACAATCATACTGTTACTGTATGTTTTCCAATATCCATGATTTACAGAGATGGAGTCCACAAATTTCTCTGCATCTGGTAGCCTTTACTGCAAATAAAGCACATTTTTGTCATATGTTGGTTTGTCTCTTGAAGCTGGAAGTCCAGTTTTTCTTTTGCTTCCGAATCTTTCCTTCTCTTTAACAAGAGAACTAAATAACATCCTTTGATGTCAGTATATAACTGACAGTGGAGAACATTGTGCGTTTAACCTTCCACAGCTGATGACATGTAGATACAATGTCTTAGACTGATATGCGATGGAATCTCTCTGGTTTCATCATTGATTCCATTTCTTCAAAACATATTGTGGCAAAGACTTTCTGGTGCCCCATTTTCTTGGATATGACAATTATTTTCCGTATTGTATTCGCGAAGGCTTTCACGGCCAGGATCTAATGATTGTTGTGGGTTTTTCGGGCACTTTGGCCATGTTCTGAAGGTTGTTCTTCCTTACGTTTCGCCAGTCTCTGTGGCCGGCATCTTCATAATGTTCTCTGAAAATGCCGGCCACAGAGACTGGCAAAACACTAGGAAGAACAACCTTCAGAACATGCCCAAAGAGCCTGAAAAACCCACAACAACTATTTTCCATATTGTTGCTGCTATTTCATGCCTGCTAACCATTTGACAGTTCTTAAGGATCTGATGACCGTTAAGTGAATTTGGGCTCCAACATCCAAAACTGTTTGTCTGAATATATTTCTGGTCTCTTTTCCCTATGGATTAAGTGCTTGTATAGAGAATCCATAGTCGGAAAGCAATTAAGAAAATTTCTATAACCAAACATGTCCATATTGAGCCATTCTCTGTGCCTCTAGACCAATGGTTCCCAACCTTGGACCCCCAGATGTTCTTGGACTAAAACTCACAGAAGCCTTCACCACTAGCTGTGCTTGCCAGGATTTCTCAGAGTTGCAGTCCAAGAACATCTGGACATCCAGTGTTGGGAAGCACCGCTCTAGAGAGGCCTTGGGAAGTCTACTTTCCTTCATCTGGTTAATTCTACACCAGCAGCTGACCATCCTAGCATATACTGTACCACACTAGAAATCATTCCTATACCCAATTCCACTGCAGTTAGATAATGTGGAAGTTTTAGAATTCCCTAACATCAGTATGCAGAAAGCAGTTAACTCTTTCAGTGTTGATATCAGGGAAACTGCAGATTTCTGCACAAAAATTAGCATTGGTATTACTTTTGTCTTACAAATGTTTAGAATTGGGCATTCTAATTCCCTTCTCTTTATTTCTAGAGCCCAAGATCCTGTAGCTGAGAAACTTATGCCAAGATAACAATAAGATTTTGCCTTCTCTAATTCTGTAGAGATTATTTACCATCCGTGCACTTTTTTCTTTTTACCAAAGACTACAATTTTGAATTTAGCATTGTTAATGGCTAGGTCATTTTCTACATGATAAGAGCTAAACTATATTAGCAGTCGTCTCAGAAAAAAAATTGTGTTGTTGACAATAAAAGAATATTAACTGTCAAGAGCAAAATGTGTACTATTTAACACTTTAGGCATGTGGCAATCCTGGTTTTACAAGACTTCAAGAATATCATTTAAATAAAAGTCTTAACACTACTCTCTTTTTTTATTTTAGAATCCTATGCCAGTGAGCCATGTAAGAAGAATGCAAGAAGTTTATGACTTTAATGCTGTGCACAATTCTGAAATTAGATTCAGGTTTGTAAAATATGAAAATATAATCTTTAAGTGTTCCTCCTGAAAGAGGAACACTGTTTAGGGGTAATCTCTGTTAAATCTGAAAGTTAATCTACCAATAAACGGGCAATGCCTCGAAACAGACGTATGTACAATGAATCAATGGTAAAATGTTTAAGGATGGGTGTTTATGTTCATACCTGGAGTTTTTGAACAAATGTGAAAGTTGATACCTTTGCATGTTAACTGTTTGTATTGTATTATTCAGAATATTTGACCTAAAATGGCTGCTTAGTAAGCAAAATTTAAAACTATAGACTATTTATTCTCTTTCCCAATACCCTGTCTTGTGTGCCATTCCCTCTTACTAACCAAATTCAGGATTGCTGTAGAGTTTCATTATAGAATCATAGAAAAGTGAAGTTGAAAGGGGCCTATAAGACCGTCAAGTGCCCCTGCTCAATGCAGGAATACAATCAAACCATATTTGCCAGATGATTGTCTAAGTTTTTCTTGAATGCCTGCAGCATTGGAGCACTCACCAACTCCCGAGATAACTGGTTCCACTGTTGTACTGCGCTAACAGTTAGGAAGTTTTTCCTGATTTTCAACTGAAATCTGGCTTCCTTTAGCTTGAGCCCATTGTTGCGTGTCCTGCACTCTGGGATGATCAAAAACAGATCTTGCCCCTCCTCTGTATGACAGCCTTTCAAATATTTGAAAAGTGCTATCTTAATCTTAGAAGCAAGAGAAAATAGGCAAGCTGTTGATATCTATGTATTCTTAATTTGCACAGTTGAGAAATATGGAAACCCCTTGTTGCAGATCTTGAATTCTCTTAATCTTGATTTGAACTTCATTTTACTGAAGACTGACTCTATTTTGTAGGTGGCTTCGCCTCTGCATTCAGGCCGGATGGGAAGATGCTATTCCTCTTGCATTAAAGATGGCTACCGAACAAGGCAGAATGAAGTTCACTCGTCCACTGTTTAGGTAAAACAAATATCAAAAAATGAATGCTCTTTGTCTAGGTTGGGTTACTGTGATCTGATTTTGGTTTTCCTTTTCTGAGATTATGCAAAAGTGGTTTCTTTGAAACCGCCAAACCAGTTGAGAGAGCTTCTTCTGTTCAACCTATTTTAACCCTCTTTTTATGAACATTATAGAGGCTTCACAATGTGGAGATTGTGGAGGATAACAATCTAACCACAAAAATAAAACTTTATAAATAACAAGATCTTCAGAAATCTTGAATATATTTGGCAATTTACCTAGATCCTTGAGCCTTCAAAGAGCCAGTAGTTGAGGGGCAAGAGAGAAGAAAGACTAAGTAAAGCAGTAACAACAAATAAATCAAAACCTGGTTTTTAAACAAGAAAGATTGCAGGGAAGTATGAAACCAGTGCAGTGGATTTATTTGAGGAAGAGGCTTAGCCTCTTTAAACCTGGTTTTGAGAACTGGTTACTGTACTAAGAAATGGAAGCAAAATTGAATTTTCAAAAAGAGATGTGGAAGGGACACAAACTAATGGGGGACAGGGCTACCAGTCCCATTTGTACTGTTAGCTTATCTGTTCCAAGGGAATTGAACAGGATCCCTAGTTTCCTTGCAGAATTTGGGTTTTTTAGTAATAAATTTTATTCAGTATTGTATATGCTTTGCCAAGTCTTGGTATCTGATGCACAAAAAAATCTTATGTTTACAGAACACTACCTTCTGAACAGCTGTTCAGCTAGTCATTTAGTAAAACTAGGTTTCAGTTACTCAAAATTAGAAATGCGCAGACAGTGATTGGCTTCCAAAGTGGTTTCAGATTATTATAAGGCCTCAGCCTTGCATTTAAGCTCTTTCCCTTTTTCCAGTCTTTCTGTGTATATTGCCCATCATCACACTCTGTCTTTTCTTTCTCCAATGTTGTCCTCAAAAATCCAAATATCTGGAGCACTGTATAAACTGTGTTTCTTTTGTGGACCTACTTTGCTCTGTCTCTTGGCCTGTTAGCACAGAAAACTCTACTTTTTTACTGCATCTTGGCGTAAAACTTTAAATTTACATATGCAGATCCTTCTGGAAAACTGTGGTGTTTCAAAAAACAGTGGATACTCGCTGTACCTGTGACGCATTTTCAAACCTGGGAGATAACAGTGTAGCTCATCTGAAACTTGCTAGAGTGGGACTTCCATGATCAGGGCCATGTCTTGACTTGAAGCTATGAAAGTCACCAGGTGACCTTGGGCAAATTACTCTCTCTACCTGGCCTAACTTACAAGATCATTTTGAGGGTAAAGTGCAAGGAAGCCACACATAACTTCTTGCATTCATTGGAGGTGAGGTAGAATATAAAGGTAAGAAAAATATGTATAATACTTATATTTTAACATTTATATGGAATTTATTGCAGGGATCTGTATAAATTTGAAAAATCCCGTGATCAAGCTATCAGTGCTTTCCAGCAGCATAAAGCTTCCATGCATCCAGTGACTGCAATGCTGGTAGCCAAAGACTTGGGTCTGGATGGACAGACAACCACAACTTTGCAAACTTAGGAATAAATTCTTATAACAAAGCATCTCCATGTAACTTTTTTTTCATCACATGAGCAAAATGGTAATATTGATCATGGTAACTTGCATGTTTGATTACTTGCTTTCTCTTCTTAACCTGTTTTTTTTTAATAAAGTTTCATGCTGATATGCTAGCACTTCAACCTTGGGCATCTGCAAATCTGAAAAAATTGAAATACATTTTGATACATTTTGTTTGTTACTGCATCATAAACAGTATGGGCTGTTTTGCTATCTATGCTACTTTAAGAAATAAAGCCTTTTATGATAAGTGGACTTGTCTTTCCATAACATAGTTGCCTCTGTTGAGCAGAGTGCTGTAATATAAATAGACAGTGGTTTGTTCTGGTCTACAGTTCTTTTTTCCTTAAAGTGAAAACACATGGTAACATAGATCTGTTTAGAAACCGAAGTAAATAACAATTAAACAATAGTATTTCCAAACTGCAACGTGAACGCCTGGTATATCCCCTTCATCAGAACAGGAGGCTAACACACAGCTAGCTCAAAAATGTAAAGAGTTGTGAGTGCCTGATAGGACTATATTCATGGAACTGCCTTTTCCTAAGGCATTTGTAAGCATCTAAAGTCTCATTTGGAAGCAAAAGCTGATATTGGTCTATGCATGGGGAAGAAATCACAAACATAACTTTTTAGCTCTGTCATGATTCAAAACCACAAACTTGAGGCACATAATTACAGAATATGAGCACACAACCAAGTCGGTCTTACCAGAGCTGTCAGGGGGCAAAGGTCAACATTCCCAAGATCATTAATTAGCCAAGGTAACAGGAGTCTAGTGAGAGAGAAACATAGGTCACTGTGAGAAATAATCCAAGTTTTTCATGGCAACAAGAAATTTGAACAAAGTTTGGCTACTACAAGTCCAAGTTTGGTTGAACAGTTTGCTGCCAGCTGCTTATAGACTACTGCTGCAGGACTTGAGAGCTCTATGGGAGGTTCAGGTGTGAGCCATCTAGACCACTTTATGAGCAGGGACTGGTTCTCAGGAGATTGCTTGCTTGTAAGGAAAACCCTACTCCTGAGGAGACCTCCCTCAGGCCAGGCCCTCGCTTTTCCTTGGCCTCATTCATGCAATTTTACTTGGCAGTAAAAGATTTCTCTGTGTTTCTTGAATTTCTGAGGGCCCGGGATTAACAGAAGCAGCCAGTTCTTCTGCATTCCTTGGATCATTGTACTTTAACTCCTCTTCCTCAGAGGAGTCACCTGGCTCCTGTAGACATGACTGATGTCTACATTTTTGTGCCAGGACACATCTGACAAGAATCAGAACTGTAATGTGTGAGGGGTTTATAAACACTTCTATGTACCTTAAGTTTTAGTTTGGTAATTGAAGGGAGAAATCATGCATGTTCAAGGATATCCATTTCATCTGAATCTTACATAGTTTTACTATTTTTTTATGGATTCTATGTGGTGGTGATAGGAGGAATGCCCCAAATTCACACACTCATTCAAAAAAGGTCAGAAGCACTGGGGACCTTAAACTTTCTTACTGAATAAAATGAGGGAAATGCCTCATTTTCCCAATCAAGCCATTCATTTGTAAGCAGCCAAGCATTCATTTATTCATTTTAAATATTTTTACCCTGCCTTTCTCCTTGAAAAGGACCCAAGGCAGATTGCAACAATGAAAGGCAATATTTAACGTTTAAAGTGAGTATACAACGGTGGATAACATCATTAAAAGACAATGTTTAAAACTTAAAGTGAGTATGCAACGGTGGTTAACATCATTAAAAGACAATGTTTAAAACTACAAACAATGAGGAGGACATCTTGCATCATTAACACAATATTAAGGCAAAGATCAATAAGTATACAAAAAAATTTAAAAAATACTCATGGTTTCATCAATTTACTTCATTGTTAAGAACACATGCTTGCGATTCTTCCTCTGTGGATATGAAACAGCATAGAAAGCCCACACCCCAAGGTTCCTAGAAAACTTTTGCAAGGGACAGTAGACCAGTTAGGTTTCTATATTCCATTTGATATAAAAATGCTGCATTAAATTAAGGTGGCATTGTTCCACTGCATTCCAAACCTATTTCTAGCTAACTAGAAATTGCTATATTTTACCGTGCACATTAGTGTTCCCCCAACCTGCAAGAAAGTTCCTCTGATTTTCCCAGCAGAAGGAATAGGAGAACACAGTTCTGAGACCTTTTTCAGAGTATATTCACTGAAACAGAAAATCATTACACTATGAAAATGAATCAGTAGCTGCATTTAATTCATGTGGTAATCATATGGAGTGGTCGCTCACATGATATTTGGGTGGTGCATGCATCTTCCTGGGAAAATGTTTAATCTGTTTTTAAGTTATATTGCATTGGCTGAGGGGGAGAAACATGAGCTTTTCAAATCATTCCAATCGAATCATTGTCCTGCACCTGCCCTCAAGGTGACCACTCTTCATTACTGCTGCTGCTGCAGTGTTATTTTTAACGTTTGGGATTTTTAAAAAGTTCTTTCAAACTGACATATTGCTATGTCAGTATTATAGGTGGAAAAAAATAAAACAGAATGGACTGCAATGTTTCCTGCATCCTGGAACCCATGTTCCTGGAATCCATTACTAGACAAAACCAACAGACACAGTTTCCTCTGACAGAGATATTCACGTATGTCAAAATGATTAAAAAAGAATTGAGTTCTCATTCAAACATTCTCTCATTGCTTTACAAGTTACTTGATTCTTTCTTTACTTGATTCGTTCAAGTACTTTATTCTTTATTCTCATTTTTCCTTATTTATTTTTTACTCTATTTTTCTGGTCCGTAAATTGTAATTCGAGATTTATGTAAATTTGTGTCATTTTATTACTTGCCTGTGTTATATTGGAAGCCGCCTAGAGTGGTCAAATCAAATCAATCAATCAATCAATAAACAAGTTAAAATAAACAAGCCCCTGGTAGCTGTTTATTTTTGCCTTGTTAAAAGAAATGTCCCAGCAAACAAACAAAAAATGCACACTATGCTGTATGTCAGGTAAATGGATATTATTAAATCTATTTCAAACCAGCTTCACTTGATTCAAATACTGTTATGGGGTTTTGTTTTGTTTTGTTTTTACATGTAAGCCACCCTCTTTTGGATAATGGGCAGACTTGCCTTCCTTTGACGAATGAAGTAACAACGAGGCTTCAGAGTATGGCTGTCCTGACAGCCTGATGAGCACATTGTGCGCCATACAGTCTGCACTGACTCTTGGTGCAACTCTTGGGAGAAAAAAAGTGTAACTCTTTTTTTTTCTTATAACCCTCCTGATAAGTTATTGATGGGGAGATGCTTCCATTAGTGGCAAGAGAGTAGTATTTATTGGTATCCATAAAGTGGTGAAGGGAGTTGGGGAGGCCATAATCGCTCCCTTTGATTCCAGTACTGCCAGAGTTGCTGTTTCTGTCACACCAATAATAGCAAGGAAACAGTAAAGTTTCCTTGGAGGGCAAGAACTAACTTTCCTTTCACTTAATGGCCCAGTCATCTGATCTGAGCAAGCAGGGAGGAGAGTTAAAAATTTACCCCATCCCTATAGGGAGGGAGGGAAAGTAGTGTGTTCATTTGTGTGTAAATAGGTCCTCTAAACTGGCACAGCCCGTGATCCTCTGTGCCAGGAGGGTAGATCAGCTCTGTCACCTAAGAAATAAGCAATGGGGAAAATTGAAAGAGGTGGATCATTCTTTTACTTTACCTGATGGAGTTCCCCTACTTTGTCCTTCTGCTGGGAAAAGCAGGGGAGTTTTTTTGGGGGGAGGGGGGAAAACATGAATGTACGAGATAAAATATAGCAATGTAACTAGCTAGCTAGAAATTGGTTAGCAGTGGTTAACAGTGCAGTGGAACAATGCCACCCTAATTTAATGCAGCATTATTATGCTCTCCTATGTCTCAAGATTGGGAAAGGAGCACGACAAGGCTGTATATTGTCCCTGGCTTATTTAACCTATATGCAGAATACATCATGCAAAAGGCAGGACTGGATGAATCCCAGAAGAAATATCAACAACCTCAGATATGCACATGATACCACTCTGATGGCAAAAAGTGAGGAGGAATTAAGGAACCTCTTAATGAGGATGAAGGAGGAGAATGCGAAAAATGGTCTGCAGCTCAACATCAAAAAAACTAATATCATGGCCACTGGACCCATCACCTATTGGCAAATAGAAGGGGAAGATACGGAAGCAGTGACAGATTTTACTTTCTTGGGCTCCATGATCACTGCAGATGGTGGCAGCAGCCACAAAATTAAATGGTGACAGCAGCCACGAAACCACCTGCTTCTTGGGAGGAAAGCGATGACAAACCTAGACAGCATCTTAAAAAGCAGAGACATCACCTTGCCAACAAAGGTCCACATAATCAAAGCTATGATTTTTCCAGCAATGTATGGAAGTGAGAGCTGGACCATAAAGAAGGCTGACTGTCGAAGAATTGCTGCTTTTGGTGCTGGAGGAGACTCTTGGGAGTCCCTTGGACTGCAAAGAGAACAAACCTATCAATTATGAAGGAAATCAACCCTGAGTGCTCACTGGAAGGACAGATCCTGAAGCTGAGGCTCTAATCCTTTGGCCATCTCATGAGAAGAGAAGACTCCCTGAAAAAGACCCTGATGTTGGGAAAATGTGAAGGCAAGAGGAGAAGGGGACAACAGGACAAGATGGTTGGACAGTGTCATTGAAGCTACCAACATGAATTTGATCCAACTCCGGGAGGCATTGGAAGACCGGAGGGCCTGGCATGCTCTGGTCCATGGGGTCACAAAGAGTTGGACATGACTTAATAACTAAACAACAACAACAATGTCTCACAAATTCTAAATTATAATCTGCTGAAGTGAAGATCTTGCTGTGATTCCTATACACCCAATAAAGTCGGAGGGCTATATCCATTTACTAATATTCTCTTTAGCTTTCAGAAATCTCAGCTATAGCAGAGTCAAAGAGGATAATTCATAGGACAACAATATTCCCTCCACTGCTACGTGTTTCCCCGAAAATAAGACAGGGTCTTATATTAATGTTTTGCTCTAGAAACACATTAGGCCTTATTTTCAAGGGATGGTTTTTTTCATGTACAACAATCTACATTTATTCAAATACAGTCATGTCATCTTCTTCTGGTTGCTCCAGAATGGTGGAGGGTGGGGTTTCACTTAACTGGGGCTTATTTTGGGGGTAGGGCTTATATTATGAGCATCCTGAAAATCATACTAGGGCTTATTTTCTGAGAAACAGGGTATTGCCCAGCTTGTGGAGCTAACTATTAAAATCAGAGATGCTAATCTGATAGGATGAAGATTTCATTGGCAGTGTGGAAATTATCGGCTTGAACTACAGAGTGGGTAAACGTTCAGGGACCTACAGAGAAGAACTAGCCTCAAGTCTCACCTAAGTAGACCACCCTGTTATTGGATAGTTCTCCTCAACTGGCACCTACTGTCTCAATAAATTACTCAGAGACTGTTAAAAGAAAATAATAAAAAAGTTTACTCACAGCTCTTCATAGATAAAAACAAACAACATTCTGTAGAAAAATAGTGACTGGTTACATGAATATTAACTGATGAACAAGCTTCATGACAGAATAACTGACTGAAGTCACTACATAACTCTATCCACAGACTGACAGCAGTGGACCACCTATGTGTGTACATACATTGTCATTATGGGGTCTAGCACATCAAAATTGAGCACTATCTCACTGGTGTTTCACCTGTGTGGTTTGAAGCAGCCAAGAGTAAATCAAATTAATTTCAAAAGAATATACTTTTTGCATATCCAGACAAAAAAAATGTTGTAGCACCTTTAAAAAATGCTCACATTGAAATGAAGCAGTTAGAGTTTAAGGTACAACTTTGTTCTTTTTAGCTTTTCTTTTTCTGGATATGCACAGGCAAACAGGGCTGCTTCTTCGGAAACTACTTTTGCATTGTGCTTTTAAGTGATCAAAGTGTTTTGCATACATTACCTAGTTACACAACATGGTTAAGATAGTTTGGTTATGCCTCGAACTATATTGTGGAATAAACCGCTAAAGTATCCAGAATATAAATTTGAAGCACAGACATCTAACATGACTGTATAGTGCATTACTACATAGTACTAGAAAGTCACATTTGGATGATTAATCATTACTGCTAGCAGTCTTACTCTACAACATGACTTCTTTGGGTTAAGGTCTAAAGGTTGCAATGTTGCCATAGTTGACTCCTGACTAATACTGATTTTGTCACTAGGGTTGCAACAGTTAATGGAAATAATATATTCAAGTAGCGCTTCTGCAATTAACCCTATCATTTTGACCTTTTGATACAGCAGGCAAGTGTGATGAATTCAGTCAGAAGGAGCTCACCACTGCTGTGTGAATGAGCATGTTATCCTGGAGAAGATCTATAGGAATAATACAAGCCGTTATGAAAATGTATAATTATGTTATGTGTGAGAAAAACATTAATGAAAAGTCACATCAGACCTGCATGCAGTTAAAAAGAGATCCTGTTTGGTCAGTGATTTCTTTCCTGTAAAGAACTGTGTGGATAAACTCACATACCCGCAATGATGGTATGACTTAACTGAATTTTGCAAACGTGCCCCAAGAATTTAATATACACTGTTAGTTATTACCTATTAGCTTTGGAATCATTTAATTCAGTAGGTTATTCTTTCCAATGTTTAAACTAAGAATTGCAAGAATATACATGTGTTACAGTCATTATGGCTTTATAGAGTTTGGTCACTCAAGATTTTGATTGTTTTTCCATCACTTCCATTTGTTGGTAGAGATGTGTCATCTCTGTGGTTTTGATTTGATACTTGGCTAAATGCATATGTTTATTTTTGGAGCTACAGAGGTTGCAAGGTGAGTGACCGACTGGCGTTCTGGCCTTTCCTGATTGGGGCGATGGAGTTTGGTCAGGTGGAACGTGCTGTTAGTGTTATACCAGGGTGCTGCTCATTCTGATACTCTACAGTAGAAGGACACAAGCCAGCAGAGAAGTATGCCACGATACACAGTCCATGTCCGAGGGGAATGGATTGCTGTGCCCTGCCAAAATATTACAGACACCGTGAGATGCCTGGGAAAAGAAGCCATAAGGCGTTACATGAAAAATAAGCCTGATAACGGGGGATTTACTTCTGTGGAAGAGATAAAGTTCTATGTTCGCCGTTGCAAAGGTCTTGGACTGCTAGATAATGATGATCCTTTAGAAGTTGCGCTGGAGGACAATGAGTTTGTGGAAGTTGGTAAGTACACTGCAGATGGCAAATGTGAAAATCACTGCACTTGCATATATTTAGGAGAAGTTCCAAAAGGGGGAAGAAAGATGAGAGGAAATTATGCAAACATGTTATATTTGTGGAACATCTGTCTCAGACCCATCCAACTCTATGAGACTTCTAAGCCCTTAACCAGGTTAACTGCATACAGTACTGCTCATTTACTTCCAGTAATTTGAAGGCATTTTCAGAAGAGATGTTAAAATTTGTGCTATTGATGTTTGTACACGGAAAGAAAGAAAACAAGTTGGTTGTGAATACTGGTTGAATTTCAGCAAGATTATTTTGTGCTGTTTTCTATGTTGTCTTAAGATCCTGATTTCAATAGCAGCAAAGGCTATGTTAAAAAAACAAATATTTGCTTGCTGTTCTGCCCTTGCCTCTCCATTTCCGACCCACTATCAAAACTCTGATAAGGTCTTTGAAGTCCTTATGAGTTGGCCACTGCTGTAAAGCCTGATGTGTACACATTGATGGGTGCTATAAATCCACAAGTTCAGTCCTGATAGAAACATTTTTGGATTCTTGTGGTTGTGATTTAAAATAAAGTGGGAGGAAATGAAGTGTGAATTAACACAGGCAACTGAGTTAAGGGACAAGGCCATGTTCATTAAAATTCATACTGATAGATTCTGACTTTTGATAGCAGCTAATAAATCCATAACCTTCTGGAATATGTGTGCTCATGCTGAACATTTCCCCATTTTTTTACAGTGATAGAAGGAGATGTGATGTCTCCAGACTTCATTCCATCACAGCCAGAAGGTGTATATTTGTATCCTTTTCAATTTACAGTATTTGTATAATTTTCTTAAGCCTCATGAAATAAGAGTACATATTTAATTTGGAGTGCCATTTCTGCTATGTTCCAAACCGGTTCCAAAATGTAGAGCAACTTGCCATGTATATTTTCTTATGCATTGTTTCAGATATAGTAAATATCGAGAACCAGACCAGGTAGGAAGCAATGATGATTTGTGAAACATTAGGAATTGGCTTCAGTAGTTTTTATGCTTTTGGCTTATTCTCCTTTCCTTTCCAATACTGATAGCTTCTGTGCCTCTAAGGGCAGTTTTCGGTTTTTTCCTAAGCTTTGTATACCACTGGAAAATGTTGTGTATTTTATTTAGCAGTAATGTGATTGAACACAAAGGACTTTATATTTGGGGAAAAATGCACAGAATGGTGCTGCATATTAATAACAGTAAAAACAGGCTCCTTTTTAAATGTTGTCAGTTCTATAACAAATCCACAGATATTTTTTCAATTGCAGAAAATTAGTGTTTCATTGGAATCCCTTTCTTAACTTGTTTTTTAATCCCATGGGTGGAAAAATGTATTCTCAGTTGACTGCAGAAGTTCCAGAAAGATTTTTGTATATTGCAGCAAGTTACATCTCTGGCTGCTGTATCTATTGCTCTAATGCTGTTCTTTTCTAGTATATATTTTTAGATGGGGAAAGTTTGACAACAGAAGATTTAGTCAACTTAGGAAAGGGGCTCTTTAAGATCAAGGTGAGTATCTGGAAGAAGTTTATGTCCAAACACCGTATTTGTTCCTTTGAATGTAGTATTGAGGTGGATAATATGTAAGGGCAATTTTATTTCCAGCTTACCCCAGAAGCGGAAGCTAAAGTCAGAAAATCAAGGGAAGTTATTGAAAGTATTGTAAATGAAAAGAGAGGTAAATATTGCACTTTTTTTAAAAAATGGGTGTGGCTATTTGGGAATGTAAACTAAGCAAATGTGGTGTAATAATTATGTGTCATCAAGCTCATTCTGATTTATGGCAACCCTTTAAGGGTATTTTAGTTATTACATATTAAGTATCAAGTTTTGTAGCTATTAGGTTTACTAGTTCTCCCTTACTCATCATGGCATTCTGGGACTGTGCAGCTTGCCCCAGACCACACAAGTGGCAGGGCTCTTAACCCCCTTGGTCACATATGTCCTCCCTCCTTCCAGATAGCACCCTGCCTGCCCTACGTTCCTGACCAATTCCTGATCATCATCTTGGTGTATCCTCTCCTGGGAGGCACAGTGGATAACTGAATGCCCACCTTCCAGGTGCCCCAACCCACTGAGCACCCTTATGTAAATGTAATAGTCGATGGGCTATCTCTCTTTTAAAAATTTAGATATTTGTTTTGTCATCATTCTTCCAGTTGTTTACGGGATCACTACAGGCTTTGGGAAGTTTGCACGAACTGTCATTCCAAACAGCAAGCTACAGTAGGTCTCCTTTGTGTCTCTTTATGTTTATGAAAGAAAAGTGAACAATTATTGCCAATAAATCTGCACGACCTAAGCCAGGTTTATTCCCCTAAAGTTAATATTTTATTTTATTTTACTTATCTATCTACATTTTTTTCTTTTCAGGCAAGCTTTTGCTTAGGGACTGGCTGTCAGGGAGAAGGTTAAATGAGTTGTTGGGCTCTGTTGCTTTGAAATGTGTTTTTGGTATTGATTTTATTTACCATTTTTAATATAATGTTTAATTCTCCCTTAATATTTGTAAACTTACTGTTTTTAGCTTTTAAATATTGTCTTTTTAAAAATGTAAGTAAGCTATCTTGGGTCCTTTTAAAGAGTATGTCAGGGTAAATATATTTTAAATAAATAAACAAACAAACATTTAAATACTGGTTCTACTAACATTTCTGTGTTCTTTCTTTTCTGCGAGGGAACTTCAAGTCAATTTGGTCCGGTCACATTCAGCAGGTAATGTAAAATATTCCAAATATTGTGTCCCCATTGTTACTATCAATGCTGATAATTTAGCAGTATTTTCTTTCTTTCTTTCCAGGTGTTGGGAAGCCTTTGATTCCAGAGAGATGCCGAATGCTATTAGCTCTAAGAATCAACGTCCTAGCAAAAGGATACAGTGGAATTTCACTAGAAACTCTTCAGCAAGTCATTGAAGTATTTAATGGTAAAATAATTAGTGCTTTGCTAAATTTCTGCAATGTTTGGTGTTCAGTGCACTGGTTGTCCTTGTATAAGGGAATGAAGCTCTCACCAAAAGCCAAAGTACCACCAGAAGATGCCTGCTAATATCAAGGGTGCCAAACCTAGAATCGCATATTCTAGTGAATTGTCAATCAAGGGGCCACGGCTGCATCTAGGGTTGAAAATAGGTAGAAGTGTGCAGATTTGTGTTTTTGTATTTTTCCCCAAGTCCATGTTATCTGGATGGGGAATTCTGGGAGTTGTAGTCCCAAAACACACAACTACACATCTGTTTCCCAGATCTAAAAAAATGAAAGGCTACTGTATTGTTTTGAAACTGGGCTTTGTTGTCTACCGTTAGAGCAGTGCAGTGCAGTTCAGAGTAGATACAGACTATCTATACCTCATCATATCCTTAAGGGCTTATCGTGGGTATACGCGTGTCAGAGCAGGAGCTTCTTTCATGTCCCTAAGTTGTTGTGGGTATACACATGTCACAGCAGGAGCTTCTTTCATGTCCCTAAGTTGTCTGGTCAACTTCTTTGTTTGGTGATGGGTTTTCATGACATAAGCACCAATTTCCTTGGAACTCTGATTTCTCAAACACGAAAGTCTGCCTGAATCGTCTCTCTCCAACACTCATGTGCAACCAGATTGCCAAATGGAAGGAGGCTGGATTGGGCTAAATAGGGTTGTTTAAGATCACAGAGAGGTGTGATGTGCCATTTGGTGCAATCTTTGCATTCACATGCAAGGATCAGCTGGCTTTCAGTCAGGAAGCAATACTGATCCTGTTAGGCCTTCCTTCCTTTAAAGCAGGCTTGTCCAACCTGTGGCCTGTGGGCCACATGCGGCCCAGGTCGACTCGTAATGCGGCCCAGTGCAATTTTTTATTTTTAAAGAAATTCCAAAGTTTCAAGTTACACTGCTGGCGCTTGCGGCCAGAATGCGGCCAGGGCACATCACAACAGTGGGGGGGGTTTTCAGTCAGGAAGCAATACTGATCCTGTTAGGCCCTTCCTTCCTTTAAAGGGATGTGGGTTGGGGGGGGAATAACAAAACAAAAATCCCCACCTTGTCCCATCCTTTTTCCTCCTGGTATATATATTACCTCCAGGCAGATAGCTCCCTTAATCAATTTGAAGCAAAAAATAACAGAATCTGGTGGCACCCCAAAGAAGTGTTTTCTTTGGCATAAGATTTTATGTGGGAGGGTATATATATATTCTGGTATATATATTACCTCCAGGCAGATTGCTCCCTAAATCAATTTGAAGCAAAAAATAACAGAATCTGGTGGCACCCCAAAGAAGTGTTTTCTTTGGCATAAGATTTTATAGATTGTAGATTGTGCAATCATTCTCTGACACCTGAGTAGGGAGATATTGTGGTGTGTGTTTTGCAAGGAAAGAAAAAGCATAACCAAGTCCTGTTCCCACCCACCCACCTCCTTTCTTCCCTGTAGCATCCTGCCTGCCTTATATTCCTGAGCAAGGAACTGTTGGAGCCAGTGGTGATTTAGCCCCTCTTTCCCATCTCGCTCTTGGACTTATAGGAGAAGGAAAGATGTGGTCTCCAAAAAGTGGATGGGCGGATGCAAAATATGTAAGACAATGCTTCACTGACCTTCTGTTTTTGTTGCTTGCTGTGATTGGACCACACATCATGCATTGCTGGGAATTTATTTGGGGTAGGAGAAGTGTGAGTGGAGGAGAGGCGTAGACAGACAGACAGACAAGTAGTGTAGCTTCATAATCTGCAGCAGCTTTCCCTGAGCTGGTGCCTTTCCTTCTATGCAAAATGTAGACAGAGGCTTTCTAAAGAAAAATAATGTTTCTACAATACTGCATTCAAATTAGAGGTGCTGGTACCCATTGAAAAGGTACCAGGCATGTGGAATACAAAATTAAAATTTGTCTTATATATGTATAGACACTTGAAAACCCTAGTTTAAATCAGGAGCTTTGAAACTATGTATGTCAGGCAGAGTTAGGATTTGAAACTACATGCTCATTTCTGCTCCAGCACAGACGACAGCTCTTCTCTCCCTTTTTACTGGAATATTGCAAATTCTTATTGGTGTTTCCAAGGCACAGAATTATTTATTGCAGAAAAAAATAGGGAACACTGCTGGGCTACTTTAAAAACTAGCTACATTTTATTTGGCACACATTTTTATGGACTTTAGCTCAATTGTATCAGTCCATGAAAGCCTGTGTCAAATACTCTTTAAAGTGTCACAGACTCCTTGTGACTATTTCTGGGTGGAATGTTGAAATAATCTTCTGTTTATGCAAAATGATTCTCACTGGATAAAGATTATTGATATAAATTTACAGGTGCTGCAAGCTCATGGATTGAAACCAATTACTCTGAAGCCAAAGGAGGTAATAATTTGTCTCCTAATCTAATACAAATTACAGCTTTGGTCCAACAAATAAATGTATTATATAACTGCATAGTCTAAGTGTAAATTTGTTTGTTTAAAAATCCACATCAGATACTGTACATGGATATTTGATACACTCTTGATATACCTGTTCTGTTTGCACAGCCTTGCCCAACCTGGCACCCTTCACAAGATGTGCTTGAATCACTCCTTTTGCTGTTCAGACAAAAATTGCAATCTTTGTCTCTTTGTTTACCTGTGGTCAGAAAGGTTAAAGAAATCTTTTCACTAAACCCCACTTCTCCAAAGCAAATGTAATAAATAAAAGAAATCATCAGGAAAGTGATTTTAGGCTGATAAGGGACTGGATCAGAAAGATTTAAGCACTCTTTTTCTCTCCTCACTAATCCCAGCTCTACCATTAGGAAGACTGGGTCATTTTCTTCAAACAACCAATTTTGGGTGTGAAGGAAGGATAGGAAATCATTTCTGTTATTGTATTGTTATTACCAGGGCCTGAGAGATTGTGTTTTAAGAAATCTGTTTCATTAACTAGAATAACTTGACTGACTTTGAGTACTACATGATTTAACTTGGGTATAACTAACTAACTAACTAACTAACTAACTAACTAACTAACTAACTAACTAACTAACTAACTAACTAACTAACTAACTAACTAACTAACTAACTAACTAACTAACTATGTTGACTAAGTCCCCCTCTGTTCACAGCATATCCTGGATTTATGTCTCTTCATCTTTGGTTGTTATGAGAATCTATCCCATGTGCAGGATAGTTTTCTGTTAGATGAGTTGTGAGAATGCAGTGGATTGGGAGGTGGCTAAAGGCCCTCCCAGTTCAATAGCACTAGAAGTTTATCTAGCATCTGGCCCAGGTGAAATCTGGCATAAGACCATGAGAATCGGTGTGCTTGTGACATTCTATATGCAAATCAAAGTGCCCTCCGGGTCAGTGGGAGTGGAACTCATTTTTTTTATGTACAGAATCGTTGAAACTAAACATGCTATTTCTTTAAAGGGACTGGCTCTTATCAATGGAACACAAATGATTACCTCTCTTGGATGTGAAGCGGTTGAAAGGGCCAGTGCAATTGCTAGACAAGCTGACATAGTGGCTGCCCTCACACTTGAAGTTCTGAAGGGGACTACAAGGGCCTTTGATACAGGTTGGTGCTGAATTTTCTAAGGCGACTTGCTCTTGGTGTGGCGTTACAAGATTTTTTAAACCAGTGCATGGGTGTCATTCTGTGCTAGCGTGCTTTGCATTTCCAACATCTGTATGATAATATACTGACTTACATTGTGTGTGCTGTGACTATCTTCCATGTGCTTAAAACTAGCAGGCTGATCATTTTATAATGATCATCACATCCACTGGAAAGGACCTTAAGTGTGATGCTTCTCTGAAGCTCAGCATGGCCAGTTAATGACTAATTATTTAGTATGAATTTGTTCTCCAGGCTGGATCCCAGTGAAGCGCAAGTAGCATAATCTTTGGACAAGTATAAAATATTAGTAAAGCTTGTGGAAAGACAAACAGTGATAGTGGGTGGGTGGAGCCATAAAGCAGAGGAGACCAAGAACAGGTCACTGAGGATTAAGTATGCTCAGTGCCACTGGGATTCTGATTGGCTGTTAGTGTTAAAAATAGGAAAAAGAGAATGTAATGGAGTATCCTAGAAAAGGAAATGGTTGGCTGGAATCTTAGACACACTTCACACAGCAAACACTTATCACAGGAAGAACTGGAAAATGTTAACATGCAATTGCATGAAGTAATTGGCATTAAATGGATCTGAATGGATCCTCATCTATCTATCTATCTATCTATCTATCTATCTATCTATCTATCTATCTATCTATCTATCTATCTATCTATCTATCTATCTATCTATCTATCTATCTATCTATCTATCTATCTATCTATCATCTATCTATCTATCTATCTATCTATCTATCTATCTATCTATCTATCTATCTATCTATCTATCTATCTATCTATCTCATCTCAATTTCTTAAAAACGAAGGTGGTTTCTGAGTTGCTTACAAAGCTAGAGGAGGAACTGTTGTGTTGTGACTTCTTGTGTTCTTTTCAAACAGATATTCATGCCCTGCGACCACATCGTGGACAGATTGAAGTGGCTTTTCGATTCAGGTCACTGTTAGACTCTGACCACCATCCCTCTGAAATAGCAGGTGAAGAACTTTTTCCTTGTGGGATAGGTGGGATGGGTACATACTATAAATTATCTACCTCTGAAAAAGTATTTTCTAAAGCATTCCAGCTCTGCTTATTTTTTTAAAAAACATCATGTACAGACTTCAGGAAGAGAATTTGGAAATTCTGGACATATTTGGCTCAAGAAGCTAACAGTTCGCACAGGATTCCTAGTGAGGAAGTTGTGGAATCCATTTTCCGAGGACACCCATTTGTGACCATTTACATAGCTTCTGGTGCTGGTTCCTTTATCACCGAGATGTTCTCTAGGCTTGGTTTAGAACTTGTGTGAAGCCTAATGGTGTCCAGATATCTCTTTAAAAAATATCTTGTGAGAATTCAAAATACCATTGTTAATTTTAGTAATATTAAGATATAATATGCCTCAGTATACTTGTGTGAATTCAAAATCACCACAGTGAAACAGACTGCATTATTTAAACGTGCATTGCACAGTGTAGCTCATCTTCTGATTTGATGGTGCAGTGTACCAAGTATCAAAATGGTGCTACATTTATTTATGATTTTTTTGCAGAATCTCACAGATTTTGTGACAGAGTGCAAGATGCATACACATTGCGCTGTTGCCCTCAGGTAAAGCTGATTATGTGTCTGATGGAATTTGTATAGATTTGCCTTCAGTGCAGTTTCTATATCAGCAGAAAATAGTTGAACTTTATTAGTCAGCATATATTTCACAAATTAAATGGGAAATTAAGGTTCTTATAAACTGAAGCTTATTTTAAAAAAATTGTAAATGGGAACTGACAAAACTTGAAATCTTGCTATGGGAATGAATAAGGCCATACAAATGATCTCTCAGTTTTAAAAATAAATTATAATACTGTACTGTACATACTGGGATATTTTCCTGGTAAGTATTACATTTGTTAGGGTAAAAGGAGAAGAAACCTCAGTGTGGGACTTGTGCAAAATCCACAAACAAAGTTGGGTAATAGCTTTATTAAACCATTAAAATCTTGAAGACAGGCAGGCTTTTGAGTCCTGCATTACAGAACTTAGGGACTAAGGAAAACCAAAAAATCCAAAAAATAAGACCAATCAGTTTGGGCTTCAGGGTCTGAGTTTAAACTGAAGACTATCCTGCATTTGCATTTTAGACCAACAGAACTGAAACAGAATTATGATGTCCTATAGCCACCGCTTAGATAATTACAGCAATATTTTAATAATAAGCAGATCTTACACTTTGTGCTAAATCCAGTGTTAGTCCCAGCTCAGGCAGACCCACTTAAATGAATGGGGCTTGTAAGTCACCGCATGTGTAGATCCCGTTTGTTTCAGTAGGTCTGTTTGGGGATGAACATAAAGTTAGCCATCCAAAACCACCGATTACAGCCATTCAAAATGTTGTTTCTGTACATATTTAAAGCAAGTAAGCATCTAGTCATACTTGACATGTTTATGTACTTGGTGAGATTATCTGTTCTTTGTTTGTTTGTTTGTTTGTTTGTTTGTTTGTTTGTTAAATGTGTATACCTCGCCATCTAGTGGCCAGCCATTACTCTGACAGTTTCCAACATAAAAACCCAGCAGAATAAAAACCCCTGCCCAACCCACAGAAATATAATAAGAACCCCCACCAAACCCAAGACAGCAACAATAAATCTAGGAGGGGAAAATCAACATATAACCTAATTACAGCAGTTATAAGGAGAGGATATTCTGAAATGAATATTGGGAGGGAAGGGGCCTGGTGGGCCTCCAGCAGCTGTACATTCCATAAGGGGGCAGCCACCACTGAGAAGGCCCTGTTCCTAGTCATAGGCTTCCTGGCCTCCATCAGGGTGGCCACTCACAGCATCAGTGCTTGGGAGGTCCGGATGGTATAGGTGGTAGATCTCAGGGAGAGGCATTCCAACAAACAGTGGTGTCCCAAACCATTAAAAGATTTATATGTGTCAACATTAAGAACTTGAATTTAGCACAGAAACACACAGGCTACCAGTGCAAGTGGGCCTTCAGTGCAGTTTCTATATCAACAGAAAGTAGTTCAACTTTATTAGTGAGCATATATTTCACAAATTAAATGGGAAATTAAGGTAATCATACCTCCCAGGACTGGGAGGTATGATTGTACCTTGAAGTCTATGAGACCAGCCTGACCACTGCATTTTTCATTTGCTGAAGCTTCCATATCACTTTCAATGGCAGCCCCATGTAGAGGGCATTGCAATAGTCAATGTTTGAAGTTACTAACACATGAAGTATTGTTATTAGAGATTTAGGGGTGCAGGTACGCCATCTGCCTAAGTTGACAAAAGGCAGATCTGGCCAGGGCCAAGATCTGCTTCTCCATTGAACAAACTGGGTCCAAGAGCACACTTAAATTGCAGTTCTGGTCCTTCAGGATGAGTGAAATCCTGACCCAGACCTGGCAGAAGGCTCCCTAACCTATCAGGGAGGTCTCTGTCTTGTCAGGACTCAACCTTAACCTGTTAGTCCTTGTCCAGGCCATAACCAAGGCCAGGCAGTGTTCCAGGGTCTGCACAGTTACCCCTGCTGAAGATTAAAAGGAAAGATATAGCAGCATGTAATTAGCATATTGATAACATTGCACTCTAAATCTCTAGATGACCTTTTCCAGCGACCTCATATAGATGTTAAACGGCACAAGGGAAATTATTGACCCTTGTGGGACTCCACATTGTAGAACCAAATGCTAAAACAAAAACCCCAAGCTGTACTCTTGAGAGACAACCCCTCAAGAAAGGACCAGAGACAGCATAAAGCTAGTACCCCGATCCCTATGCTCAAGAGATGATCCAGGAGGATACCGTGGTCAATAGCATCAAAGGCCATTGAGAGAACCAGGAGGGCCAACAAGGTTACACTCCTTCAATCAGCCTACCTTAACAGGTCATCAAGCACAGCGACCAGAACTTTCAGTCCCATGGCACGGCCTGAACCCTGATTGAAATGGATCAAAACTATCTGTGTCCTCCAAGAATGTCTGCTGTTTGATCCGTCCTCACCCTCTTGATCAGTTTGCCCATGAATGGTATATTGGTGACAGGATGAAAAGTGTTTAAATCATCTGTTGCCAATCTGGACTTTTAAAGAATGGGTCAGATCATTGTCTCCTTCAAACAGAAGGGTGTATATCCCTCCTTCAATGAGGAGTTTATTATCTGAATGGCCTATTCAATCGTTGCTGATTTAAGCAGCCAGGAGGAGTCTGGGTCAAACCAAGAGATGGTGGCCTTACAGCATGCAAGCACCTTATCAATGTCATCAGGTATCACAGGCTGAAATTGATCTAAAACAATCAAACAAGGCTGCACATTAGACATCTTGATATGTTCTATCGCTGTACTAAGAGAGTCAATGTCCCTTTAGATGGCCTCAGTCTTGGAATGAACTGTTCCTATGTGGTCACATCTGACTGAGGCCTTGGATGAAGTCAGACACCAGTGAGGTCATGGACCACTCAAGAGTGCTGCCTGACAATTAGCATTGTGACCGCATATATTCTGCACTAATATGGACAAGATATGACTAGCCTTCAGTCCTTGTAACATGCACAAGCAATCAGAGAGAAGGTGGGGGAAAGAAGAGGAAGACGGAGGAAATGGACCCCAATGTTACAAGGCACACAATGGATGCAAGCAGCCATGGACATCTACAGAAATAATGGGGTATGGGTGGGAAGTCTATTAGTGATATATATGGTTTGTTGATTTGACTGTAATTTTTTTTCTGTGTATATTGAAAAAAAAATACTTTGCAAAAGTGAAATGTGACAGAACATTCCATTAAAATAAAATAAAATCTAAATGAGAATGACAAACTACCAAAAGGCTTAATGTTTAAATATTATCTGTTATTTCTTATAGGTGCATGGTGTTGTGAATGACACAATAGCTTTTGTAAAGGACATAATCACAACAGAAATCAACAGTGCAACAGACAATCCTGTATCTTTTTTCTTTTTCTTTCAATGGCCCTTCTAACCAAGGGAAGATTTAAGCTTCATCTTCCTTCAGTTATTTAGCTACAAAGATTCATAGCCTGTTCCTGTGAAAATTAACAAAAGAGCTTTTCGGGCAGAAGAGGAGCTCAAAGGAGCATTCCTAAATATTTACATTGTGCTCTAAGAAATACATTGGCTCAAATCCACTAGTATGTCATAACTAGAGTAGATCTATTGAATCAATGGACGTTACAAAGGAGTTGACTCACCAATTCCCCACTTATTGAATGGTCCTGTTCTAGTTGCAGCTTATTACCGGACTTAAGCCATTAATTTCGTGACGTATTTGTCCATGTTGTTACTCTAAATTAAAAGGTATTTTTAAAGACCTAAATGGCTCAATACCAATACTAAACCACCATCTCTTATTCTCCTATCAAGATGCCTTCTGATAATGATCTATGAGAGAGGGCTTCCCTGTCTCCTGTCAGTATTATGTAATACATTAAAAAAATAATTTAGCCTTTCTTTCTAAACATTTCTCAATAAAGCTGAAGCCTTAACTTGTCTCTTAAGATGGTTTTTGCTGAGAGAAAGGAGACCATTTCCGGAGGAAATTTCCATGGTGAATACCCTGCCAAGGTAGGTAACTGGAATCTCTATCCAAAAGCTTTCTTCTTCTAAAAAAAGGTCAAAGATCAAAACTTAAAGTGGAAACATTTATCCTTGTAGGCTCTGGATTATCTTGCAATTGGTGTTCATGAACTTGCTGCAATTAGCGAGCGGAGAATTGAACGTCTCTGCAACCCATCACTCAGTGAGTTGCCACCATTTTTAGTCACAGAAGGAGGTCTGAACTCTGGCTTTATGATTGCACACTGCACAGCAGCATCCCTCGGTGAGTACACAAAACCTGAATGGGGGATCTGGAAATATACATACTTCACACATCAATCTGTGGTGTTTATTTATTTATTTATTTATTGGACTTATATACCGCCCCATAGCGCTACAAGCACTCTCCGGGTGGTTTACAATTTAATTATACAGGCTACACATTGCCCCCCCCCAGCAAGCTGGGTACTCATTTTACCGACCTCGGAAGGATGGAAGGTTGAGTCAACCTTGAGCCGGCTACCTGGGATTTGAACCCCAGGTCGTGAGCACAGTTTTAGCTGCAGTATAGCGTTTTAACCACTGCGCCACGAGGCTCAGTTTACCCCATGGCCCCTGTTTGTTTCATCAAACACAGAGCTCAGACAGGTATCCCAACATACCCTTTAGCACGCTGCCACCAGCTGATTTCTTTATCAGCCTATATTTCCTAAGAAAGACTGAGGTCCATTCAGTACTGAATTTTTAAACAGAAACAGATTTATTAATTACAAGTTGTTTTACGACTAGTTCTTAAGCACATTCTTAAAGTTACACCAAGCTTCAGTATTTTACTTTAACCTCTTCTATCTTAATTAATACAGGTCACACTCTGACTAATCACTCCGTAAACACTTTCTCTGCTTCAAACCCCCAAAACTCTTTCTTCATCTCTGTCTCCAACTGAACTCACTAGACTAACTCGCCCGTCCCTTCTAGTTTCTCTGGCTTCGCCTCCCAACAACTATCATTGGTACATGCCAATAATCTTCTACCAGAGCCAAAGCAGGGTGATTGCTACAGGGGACCTGGAAATATACATACTTTACACATCAATCTGATGTTATTTCATTTGCTGTTCTTGCCTTTCCATCTCAGCAGCTTGCATATTTCTACAATGTATGGAAATGTGTATATACAAATCCATGCACATGTTTAATTGCCATACTTATAGTAACAACTTCCTATGTGTTGTGGGGTATTTAAATATATTAGAAAGCCCTTTTTCTGTTGTCTTTCTTCCTTCTTATAAGATCAGGATCATAAGATACTAAGATTGCTTCTGCTTTTGGTAACCATCAGTTATTTAGAGGAAAACTGAGGAATCTCTTTCCGCCTGAGGACCAGAGGCTTCATAAATTAATACAGTAATCATGTGCTTTCAAGTCAATTCTCACTTATGGCAACCTTTTTTCAGGTTTTTCCAGCCAGAGAATACTCAGAAGTGGTTTGCCTTTCTCTTCTTCTGGGGGCCCCATTCTCTTCTTCTGGGGGCATCCTGAGACTCTGTGGCTTGCCCAAGGCCACACAGGCTGGCTCTACTCATAGAAGGCACAGTGGGGAATCAAACTCCCAACCTCTGGCTCAGCAACCAGGATGGGACAAACAATGCAAGCATAATATATTCTTGAAGGCTTTCATGGCTGGGATCTGATGGTTGTTGTGGGTTTTTTGGGCTCTTTGGACGTGTTCTGAAGGTTGTTCTTCCTAACGTTTCGCCAGTCTCTGTGGCCGGCATCTTCAGAGGACAGGAGTCAGAACTCTCATGGACAGAGAAAAACCCACAACAACCATCAATGCAAGCATACTTTAGCTTAAAGCTCTAGCTGCTGGTAACTAAGTCTTGTGTGAGGCACTTCAGCTTTTTCAACATGGGGAGAAAAAAAACACATGCAGCAAAACCTGAAAGCCCTCTAGCACTGGTATCATAGGGAAGGGAACATAGTCATCTGGGGAAGCTCAAAGAGAGATCAGAAGGTCATCAGGGGTCCATGAGGGTAGGTTCCTGATGCAGAGAGTAATTTTCCTTTCCTGACATGTTCAACTTGTCGCACAACCATCTGCATAGACAAGTCATTCTTTTAAAGAGATTTTTTCTATGTGCACAAATGCTTTGTGATTGAATGGAGTAAAATGGAGCGGAGTGGAAAGGAAGGAAGGAAGGAAGGAAGGAAGGAAGGAAGGATTTTTTTTGGAGAATCTACCTGTAATGCTGAGAGAATTGGGAAAACAAGGGGAAAAGGGGAAGGGAAAATAAGACTATTGGTAATACAGTCTCATGTGTCTTGTGCTATGAAACCTGTTTTTTCTCTTGTTCACTCTTGTTACACTTTGGGCCATTGATTCCAACATGGTATTGCATAGATATGACTTTTTCTTTGAAGTGTCCTAATCATTGATCATACCGTTTTTGATATGTAACTAAAACAATAAAAGCTACTCTTCACTCAGTGGTTCTATAACTTCTAGTTACATTTGTTTGAGATGGTAGCCATAATTATCAGTGAAGAGGATTCTTGTAGTGTGATGGCTAAAAAGTGAGCCATATCTCTGCCAGTAAACTCTGTAGGCTGTGTTCAATAAGCTACTGTGTTATCAACTTTAACACTCTTCTGTTGGCAGTATGACAAAAATAATGGTCTACTTCACATGCTTGTTGTAAATATTTGAGGTATTCTTAAAAAAATGTAGGAGCAAAGTCCTGTTGAATCAGATCCAGAGTCTGTCACTCAAGTCAAATACCCTCTTTCCAACTGTGGCTGGCCAAATGCTTACCAATGAAACAACTCAAAGAAATGATAGATAGGCTATTATTATGCTGGTGATATGTAAAGAAAGGTGGATGCTGTATTAAATGAGATATTGCTTCCTCAGAGTGCACCATTTATTTATACTGGCCTTTTGCAGTTTCTGAGAATAAAGCCTTGTGCCACCCCTCTTCTGTGGATTCTCTTTCAACCAGTGCTGCAACAGAGGACCATGTATCCATGGGAGGATGGGCAGCAAGAAAAGCACTCAAAGTCATTGAACATGTTGAACAAGGTAAACAAGAGATCAGAACAAGTTTTGAAGATGTGGCTTAGTAGACCAGTCTCTTCTTTTAAGGCTTACCATCAGAACAAGCTTTGAAGATGTGATTTAGTAGACCAGTAGACCAGTCTCTTCTTTTAAGGCTTACTGTACATGGGTGTAAGTTCCATGGAAATCAGTGGAGTTTGGTTGGTTACCATGTGACTTAAAAGGTCAGCAGAGGAAGTGACAGGAAAGGGAAGAATGCATGTAAAATATGAAAGCTTAAAGTGGTAACTCATTGCAGAAGAAAGTAGATTTCAGTTTTGCAGGGATGGCCTTGCTGTTGTTTTTCTTAATCTGTTGCTGAAGAAACAGCAAAGGATGTTTTAGTGTCTTAAAAGATTAACAAGTTTGTAATGGTATAAGTTAGTGGACTCAAGCCCATTTTATCAGCTACATGAAGTGTTACGGCCTATACCCCTGAAAAATTGATGCTATAATAAATGTGTTACTCTATAACATGCCACAAGACCCTTGTATTTGATTTAATTTCTCTGATCCTTAACTTGTAACTTAGAAAGTTGCATTGCCAGACTATGAAGTATTCAAACATCTGTCTACTCACATTTCCATTGTGTGATGAGGTCTTAAAATATTATCTACAACACCTTGTCTGTAATATTTGAACTTTTCTGAAAGGACTTAAAACTAACCAATGGTCTTTCCCATTATTTCTATGTTCACTAGTGTTGGCTATAGAACTCCTTGCAGCGTGCCAGGGGATTGAGTTTCTACGCCCTCTGAAAACTACAACCCCATTGGAGAAAGTCTATGACCTTGTGCGCTCCGTTGTGAGGTATGACAAACAACAGCTCCTCTAAGATTACAACTATGAGAACATTGGCCAAACATTAACTGCTTTCGCTATCATTAGATTTAGAAGTTTTCAATTGGCTTTCTTTCAGGCCTTGGATGAAAGATCGCTTCATGGCCCCAGACATTGAGGCAACACATAGACTGCTTGTGGATCAGAAGGCAAGTTTTGACATTGGTAACTAATGATAACTGATGGAGAGGGAAAAAAACAAATCTGTTTTCCTACAAGCCCATTTATGTGTCTAATTATGTGCTGCATAGTCCTCTTACCCTCACGCATGGGACTTAATAAACCACATTTATAAAGGAGAAAAGTGTATCTTGTATAGAGGCTTGATTTCCTCTTGGGAGAACTTACAGAAAGAAGATATGTTTTCATGACTCTTCCTTAGTTCAAGGTGAGACAATGGGATGGGAAGCCCTCAATACCTGCCATTAAAAAAAGATTATTACGATGGGCAGGATGTCCATATTTATTTCATATACATCTGCTCAGCACTTGAACCCCAAAAGACTCTATGAGCAGCACACAAATGGAAAAAAACACTAAAAACAAACAGTAAGACTACAACTATGTTAGTTGTAATAACGCAAGATGACATAACTGAAGCTAAGTAACATTTAAACAGAAACCTGAATGCAATTTGCAGTCCTAACTAAAGTAGACCCATTAAATTGGTCAGGTATATGTAATCATTGACTTGCCATTCAGCAGTTGATTCAATGGGTCTCCTCTGTTGGGATTTCCAATTGGATTTAGGACAGTCTTGAGAAGCCCAGACAACAGTTGTCACCAGGTGAAACTTTGCTGATATTATCCTAAATATATGGTCCCATGTGTGTTTGGGACACCAGACAGCTTACCTCTAATATAGAAGGGCCTGTGAGAAAGAACTTAACTTCTGGGCAAGTTCATAGAGGAGCATGCAGCCCTTGAGGTTCAGTGATCTTAGTTCCTAAAAGGCTTTTAATTAAGGCCAAAGCTGGCACAGTACATTGTTCTAGGAAGTAGACTAGAAGCAGTAGAGTTGTTTTAAGACTAGTGAAGTGTTTTTAATTGATAACTATTTGGGCTGCCATTTTAATGTAATTGTATTACTCTGGACAGCCTCCAGTAAGCCAAAACTCAAAGTCAGAGCCACATAATACACCACATTGTCCAGATACCACACAGTTGTATGTACTTTATCTCCATACACAAACATCTCATCTATCTTGTTTAAATATGTCAGACTAGACTCATGGCCCATTCTTTTCAGTACAGCTTTCCCAGCACACTGCAGATGCATCTGATTACAACTCTCATCATCCATGGGCAATCTGGCTAGGGATGAGGGAGCTGTAATTGATACCTCTGGGGGAGCAGGTCAGTGAAGGATGTCATAGGCTACTGCGCATAACCTGTTGACATTTTGAACTTTCAGCCCAATGTGTCTCTGCCTCTTCCTCTGACTCTGCTGTTTACTTTTTGGCACTGTTTTTAGGTATGGCAAGTAGCCCAACCATACATTGAAAAATACAGACAGGAGCACATTCCGGAGTCCAGGCCAATTTCTCCCACTGCTTTTTCCTTAGCAGCAAGTGAAAACTATTCACGCCACCACCACCACCACAATGATTCAAAAGAAGATTCTGAATAGTGACAGTCATCAGACCCGGACCACGGTGCTTCAGTTGCTGGAGCATCTTGTGCTTTTGAAATACCTGTCCTTTTGCTCCCTCCACCACCACCACCCGCTGCCCCCCCCCAAAAAAGAAGCCTTCAAAGAACCAAGTGTAAAGCTGGAAATCTCTGAGGGCATTGAAAAAGGGGTGGAAGAAGAAGAAAATGTCAGAAGAAGAAAATGACCATGTATTTTTTATTTGTAGCATGAAATGACTGTGGGTAGGGATACAAGCCTGGGCAGACATAACGTGTTTTGTGACTATAAAGTTAAGTACCCTAATGTCAAACTGGAATTTAACTCACTGATATTAAAAGACTGGTTTAATTTATTCAAGTAATAAAATCTAGTTTTGCTATCTTACAGAATCCCAAGCCCAGCTGTTGTTTTTTTTCTTCCCAATTTTGGCTTGCTGAGTTCGGGGTTTTTTTTCCCTGTTTAACATGACCTTTAAAATTCTGTGTGATGGATGGCAGGGTGGTATATTTAGTACAACGTATTTTGACAATGATCAAATACGGAAGTCCGAAAGTTCTCCCCTGCAGAGGAGATCTGTTGCCTTTTATGAATCCATGCTTGTCTTTTTTTTCTTTTTATCCTTGAATAACCTCTGAATCCTATCTTAATCTGTATCCTAGTATATAACCCTGTATAGCTTCTGAATATGTGGGCTGGCTGCAACTGTACAGACCACAATACAATAATAGCATGAAATGAACTTTTGTAAACAAAACCAGCAGCAATAGGGCAGAAAACTTAAGCCTTGTGTTTTTATGTATACATCTGAAATCCCATGGCTGATACCTTGTTGCTTAATTACACATGTGGAAAGCAAACAGTATAACATTCAGTCAATTCACTATCAACAGTCACAGCAGCAACTCATTAACTGCTGGCCAGAAGTAACTGAATGTTGTTCCATAACAAAGCGCCTATATATTCATATATAAATACACATAGTTCTATAGATATATTCACAAAAACACCACAAAAATAATTTGATTAAAAATTAGGAACTCCCACCATTTAAGATAGGTTGAGTGTCCCACCAACATTAACTCTGAGACAACCACTCTTTGTACCAGATTCACACAGTTGTATTTACCCCCCCCCTTAGAATAGCATATATTTTTTTTCTAAATAATGGAGCAACTCCAGCATGAAGAATGCCATTCAAGAGGCTGGGCGTTACCAGCTATAGGAAGCTGCAGAGTGAGCCTAGAACAAGCAGCTGGAATGATGGGTTAAAAGTCGAGGGAGAAGTCAAATTCTTGGAGGTGCCCAGGCTCGGCTCAGCTTACACCGAAGGAGACACATGTCTTTGCATGGGGAGAGAAGGAGGAGAGCCCACCTAGCCTATATTTTAGGATATCCTCAACTTTGGTTTCCAAAAGTGAGAGAAGAGCCATTGTTCCCTACATCCCCAGCTTATTCAACTAAAACTAAGGAACACTAGCTTTCTTATTTTCTTAGAATAAGAAATGTGCATTGGATTTACTTCCAAAGGCTGAAGCATAATCTGCTATTATACTTTTCAGAAGCTGAATAAGTTAACATAGCTTCTCTTTGCTCTGTTAACACAACTGAAGAAGAATGAAGCTACCCTAGAAAATACCTCCCAAAATTCCCTTTAAAATAACTAAAATGTTATTCATTAAACCAAAAATTAGCATAATTTCCACTTATCACATTGTGTTTAGAATTTAGTTTCATACTGCTCTAATTTTTAAAATTAATTATGGGTAACTACGCTATCTGTAACCACAGATTTCCAACTGCCAAACAACACTCAAGCCTAAGGGCTCTGTTTTCTAGTCCCGGGGGACCTGACAAAAGCCAATATATTTAGGAAAGTTTTTTAAAAACAGATCCTGCCATCCTGCAAAAATGCCAGATTACAACCTGTTCTGAGAAGTCCTCTCAGTAAATAGTGGGTTGAGGACTGCTATTTAAAAGAAACTGAAAACAGAAGCTCAAAACCTGATAAACACACATCTCTGAATCTTGGCACTGTGTTCTGTCTTACGTAGTGCATTTGTTACTGATGAATTGAATGAATTGTTATTGAGTTGGAAAAAATTCTCAAATATGTGAAGAATCACTGCAAGGATATATTTTAGGAGTCTTTATATAAGAGGATGGAGGCCACCACCTTCATTAATAAACAAAGCCACATTTTATACACATGCAAGTTTATTTTAAAATATCAGAAAGATGTCTAAAGTTAACATATGGTTTGCTATTCCTCATGCAAAAACACCAGAAGGAGAATTAAAATCCGTGAAATTTGGTATTTTATCCACAGTAAGTGAGGGTGATGTGATATAATGTGTAGTTCTTGTATGACTGATATTCCCTGGATCATGGATTTCTGCTTCATCCGTTTGTGCTTTGGGGATTCTAGCAGTTGCCGTATTTGGTCTTCCAGGAATGCCTTAGTAATCCAGAATCCTGTTGTTTTCATAGACAACCTTTCCTTTAACGATTACATACTCAATCAGCTCTTGATGGCCACCAAATTGATAGATCACATGTTCCCATCTGAAAAGATTTTTGAAAAGTATATCATAAGCTGCCTAGAGTGGTCTATTAGGCCAGATAGGTGGGGTATAAATCAAATCAAATAAATAAATAAAATGTTTTTTTTTTAAGTCTTTTTTTGCACTGAAGTGAAGAGCCAAACTGCACAACCAGGAACATCATGCATAATGCAGACAGAGTCTCTGACACTGACAATATGCCCATGGGAAGGCTATACATGACCTGCATGTTGTCATCCAGAAATATGAAGCTCTGCTTTTTATCACCTCAGCTTTCAGCACAGCTGCATATTATACAAATTAGACAAGATGATTTTAAAATTAGATGTAGCATTATGTTCTGCAGCATAACATTTTAAAAACAAGTGTTATTCTAGCAAAACAACTAAGGAAGAGTTAATCAAACCCTGTCACTTAGTGCCATTTTATTTCTGTTTTGTCAGTTTTGTTTTGTTAATTCACAATAACCTTTGTTTATGAAATAATTAGATTACTGTATTTAATTCACAATAACCTTTGTTTATGAAATTTGGCCCATGGTGTTAGAAGAACATTTCCTGATTAGTTTTCTGATTTTCTAAAGATTTTAGCTGTCATGGCTTACAAGAGGCTGCAAAAATGTGTACATTGTGTCTGCTCCGTTAAAAGGACCTTTGGGCCCAGAACCAAGAATTGGCATTTCCCTCATTTCAGTTTTGGGCAAAATATTCTGAAATGAGTAAACATACAAATGAATACTGTGATTGGACTGTAGCAGCAAGAACAAACTAAGATGGTGGAGTCCAAAATCATAATACACTAATTTCTTATTCAAACAAGCATTGGCTAGGGCTTTACATACTTACCTAGGCGAGTTAATGATAACCAGATCTCCTTGCTTGCCAGCTTCTATGGAACCATGCGTGTGTGATTTCCCAAGAGCATAAGCTGCATTAATGGTGGCAGCAGCTAAAGCTTCTTTCATGGACATTTTCATGTTTACACAGGCCAGATGCATTACCATCAGCTAATGAAAGCAGGAAAGTAGGATCTGAATTTACTATACAGTTGAGTGAAACCAACATGCTATCAGTCATCTCTTCTAAACTGTTGAGCCTTACAAAGCCTTCAAGCTTATGGTGATAAAATTTGGTTTCAAAAGTGGGAAATGGTTTTCTAACTTCCAGAAGCCTACAGCCTTTTTAGGAGTCATTAAAAGCATCTTTAAAAATGTTTCTCCTCTCTGTGTAACTAGGTCTTAAAGAACAGCAAGTGTTTATCTGGGCTACATTCAGACATCAGAAGGCAACATCCTGTTCTAAGCAGGAGGCAATTAGAGATGGGCATGAACCTTCGTTCAGAGGTTCATGCTGGTTTGTTGGCCCGGCATGCCCGTTTTCTCCAGCCCCCTGGCCGGCTCCCCCACTGACCAGCTAGTGCATGCTGCTTTTCTCCTGCACTTTGTACAATCATCCAGTCACATCAGGAACATGGACTTCCTTATCCACCTTCTCCAGCAGCTGCCCACTGAGATGAGGAGACAGGGCAGATATGGTTTGATTGTATTCCTGCATTGAGCAGGGGCTTGGACTTGATGGCCTTGTAGGCCCCCTCCAACATCACTTTTCTATTATTCTAGGTCAGGGATTCCTGCAGCACTGTCTTTGAGTAGGCAGGTGCCGGAGAAGGCAGAGAAGGGAATTCCATGCTCCTACAGTGACTGAATGATCATGCAAAGAGCACGAGAAACGCAATGCACGCCAGCTGCTAAGTGGGTGAGCTCACCCAGGGCGGTGAGGAATGTGCGACACCTGTGGTGCGGCACCAGTGAACCAGCACGAGTCTTTAAACTGAGGTTCATGCAGATCTCTAGAAGCAATTACTTTTCAACCATAAGTGGTCATATGTGGGATTCAATATAGTACATAACTGAATTCATGTGGTCTGCTAGTATAGAAAATTAAATGGACTCTTTATATGTTTCCAAAGAATCAAAACAACAAATATTGCAAACTTGACAGAACTTACATTTGGATGGAGAGAAGAAAATGAATAGATATACTGGCTGAAACCCAGCAGTATAACTTAAACTGCATAAGTCTGATGATGTCATCAGTCATGGAGAGTTTACCAAAATTAAGAATTTCTGTTTTCCCCCTCTAAAAATCCCAAGGCTCCCTTAGAATTGCTGTTGGAGGCCACAGGATGGGGGGGGGGAATCTTGCCACCACAATTAAAGATTAAAGATCCCCCCGTGGCCCTAATGGTTTTTCCTCAATAATGGAAATAGAACCTTAATAAATTTGAGATAGGGAGTCAGAAATGTTTCATAATAATGGAATCTTAATAGAACCTTAATACATTTGAGATAGGGAGTCAGAAATGTTTCATTTCGGAAAAACTCATCCCTGCTGATGACATCATCAACCTTAAACGATATAAGTTATGCTACTGGATTTTAGCTTTCATGTCTAATAATAGTCACTGAGGAAATGTCTTACCATTGAACAACAGTAAGCATTAGGGTTAAAGTCACTACCAAGAGCAAGAATCACTCCTTCTTTTAACATTTTTCTAGCCTGAGGCTGTTTCAGTCTAAAAAGGAAAAAAAAGACCAGATATTACCATTTAAATTGAATCATAATAAGGTTTTCCTTTTCTAATCAATACAACCTCTGTAGTTTATCTTTCTGAAATATTAGACTATTACAGAAAGATAAAATGTGGAAAAAAGATCTTCCTTTTGTAATATTAAAACTTTATATAAAAATGAATATAAATATAAAATGGAAATGGAAAAAGGTCTTCATTTTCTAATATTAAAATTCTATTTTATTTTTTATATTGTAATAGTTATAGAATTCCTGCATGTTCTACATAACATGTATGTTCTACTCATTTAACTTTAACATTTTCTTTAGGAACAATCAGGACTAGAAAATAGCTTTTTAAAAATGGCTTCATAGTACAATGTACTCAGACATAAATTCTGTTACGTCCAATCTGGTTTCCTCCCAGATACGTGTATATTATATCATATATATATACGATTGCTGTTACAGGTTCTTATTTTGCAACCAAAAAATTCTGATATATAAGAAACCAGAAAAGATACGATCAATTCAAATTAGCCAATTCAGGAAACCAATTAAGTTTCACTTGAATGTAATGAAATGGCACTATGCAGTACCAAAGTTCATACAATCCAGCTGAATTTCAACAACGTGGTAGAGGAGCAGCATATATACCTGGAAACATAATGCAAAATGTTCCCAAATACACGATATCTACCTTGCTGTGAATTATAGACACAAACAATATAAACTAATACATATTAGAACTGCAATTACCTCAGTATGTAGGCAGTGGTTGGCAACAGGATAGCTGCACACTTTGCCTGAGCCATTGCAGAAATGCCTTCATGACTAATTTCTTCCAGGTGACTAACAGCTTGTGCTCCTAGCTCAGCTCCAAGCTAAAGAGATGGCAAGGCAAGGTATGAAATGTAAGTAATAAAGAGGCACCATAGGAACTGAAATTTGAAATTGGATAATAAATTGGATCCCTAAAACCAGGAGCTCACTGGGCAGAGCTTATCACTCTTCCCACTGGGGTATAGACAAGACATACTGCTACATATTTCACCATCCAGATCACACACCCTATACCCTGAGATAACATCTGTGAAATTCCATGAGGAAGTGCTGGTTTTTCTATGCCTCACTCACACACAAAAAGATGAGATGCATTGTTGGAAATGAACACAGGTTGCTTCACAGCCTTTTTAAAAACACACTAGGAATGCTGCCAGCCAATCATACGCCTGCTTTACTGTTGACCAATCAGAGCAGTGAGGGACACAGAATTTTATTCTATTGCACTTGGATTTCCCCCTCAATATTTGCATCTGTGTTCCTGGTGCCCTATGTAGCTCAAAGGGAAGCAGGGTGGGGGTGGGCGGTGTCAGTCAGCTTGAAAGCAAAAATCCTAGAAGATAAAACAGGGAACATAATGAGCAAAAGATCTATAAAGGAATTCAATAGACTGTAATAGGATAAAGAGAACTGTCTGGACTCCTGGATTCTCTCTCTATAAAATTTAGGTATAGGGCAAGCAGGAAATAGTCTACATTATATGTGGCCAGATGTTCATGCGGTCCAGCCAGGTTATTGTCAACAGAGAGAGGAAACACTGTAAAGTGATACCTTGTCACCCTTTTCTCTACAGCATCTTCAATCTCCACCTTGCTTTTCAAGCAATTTGTCTTCACTAACAATGACCATAACACCTGAACTCATTTACTGAATATTTGGGATGTCTGAAGGATAGTTTGTTGTTGTTGTTTAGTCATTTAGTAGTGTCCAACTCTTCGTAACCCCATGGACCAGAGCACGCCAGGCCCTCCTGTCTTCCACTGCTTCCCAGAGTTGGGTCAAATTCATGTTGGTAGCTTTGATGACACTGTCCAACCATCTCGTCCTCTGTCG